CAGCACCCACCAAATAGAAAACTGTCTCTGCCCAAAGCGACCCACACTCGCCGCCCGTGTAGAAAAAACACTCCAGCACACCGCTTGTCCCAGAACACAGACGCACACACACACGCACGCGCGTCAAGTGGGAGCTGTACTCACTCTGGCCGTGCATGAGCTGGAACAAGTTGCCGGCGTCATTTGACGGCCGCTCCTCAAGTGCCTGCCTGGTGCTGGTGTGTACAACATAATTAATGTCCTCATTAGTGCCGGCTTTATGGATGTGACGACATACATTTGTACCTATGGAACCACGGCTCAATACACAGTGGTCATATTGAAATGGTACAGTCTGTGATTTTGAGATAAGTTTTAAAAAAGACGTACACATGAAAAATCACCTTTAAAATGTTTGTAAAGTTCTTGTTTAGCCCTGACGGGGCACGGGGCAGATGAAGTAGAGACATGAAATTGATAGTGCTGTAGTTGGCACCACAGGTGGCGGTCTTGACTTTACTACACTAGTAAGGTGTGTGGGCTTAGAGCTGGATGCAAAATTGAGAATACATTACAATTTATATTTAATTTTTAGGTTTTTGATATATATATTTAAAAATGGCCTTCTCGTTTTGTTAATTATTGTCATATGGTGTTCAGCATAATGTTTTTATTTTTTTGTTTCTGTTTTGTGAAAATTGTGATGTCATGGCGTGTCTTGTCTTTCAAACAATTTTTTTATATCACCGCAAGTAAAAACACGGCCCTTAATTATTTCCTGTTCAGATGTTCGTTATATTTTTTATTATGTTTGAACCCCCCCCCCCCCCCACAATACCAGACACGTCATAACAACGAGACAAGGGACATAACAAACATGTGTACGTTTTTAAACACAAGTAGATCAGGACTCTTGGTTGGATCTATCTTCTATTTGTGTTAACGTTGGTGGCACTGTATTGCTTAACCTAAAGCACTGTTGTAAATCTCAAGGCTAGACTAGACGGAATATTCTAGTTTTACTTACACATACAAACTTCATATCTTGTTACAACGGGCTTAGTTAGTACCACAGTGGGGCCGTACTACCGCTACTTTTATCTTATCTTTAAGGATAAACACAATGAATGTCCACCCTTATCCAAAATTCGCAGGACCTTTTTTAGTTTTATATATATTTTTTTTTCTGCTTATTACACAACTGCATTTTGTACAATCCTTATTTAAAATAACATATTCCGTCGACATTACAATAAACATTTCTGTTTGTAGAATTTAATTTTTGAGTCTTTAGAAATCCACGTTTGTAAGTCTCGCAGCTCATATTATTTCTCTCATTTCTTCCACTTGACCGATGGTTAGCGTAAAATTGGATGAGCCTTCAAATTGGAACATTTCCTTCCCAGAGGCTTAGACCAACCTAGATCTAGTCGGTATATTTTATAACCACACATCATTGTTTTTTTAAACCTTGTATAACTGTAAAAATGTTTATCTCGAAAACAGATATTTTGTCTGATTAGATTTCTTGCCCCTGCGTTTGAGAACTCCTAAGGCAGTGGTTCCCAACCTTTTTCGGGTGGCGACCCCCTTTTATAAAAATTAAGTGACCCGCGACCCCCATAGAATTAAAAAGCCGAAATTAGTATGGAAATTAATAAGCACTAAAATAACATTTTCTAGTAGACTTTCAATATAAACTACTCTTGATAACTGTTTTAATACCTTGAGTAAAATTGCATACTATTCACTAAACATTCGCGGTTAATTTTTTTTTAAAGTATTTTTTTTTTGTTAACGCCAACCTATGTCATTATCATTATCTTGATTTTGTTTTTAATCGAAAAATAGTGTTGAAAATCTATTCTCGAAAAGTCAATCAATTTTACGTTTGGGTATGAATGGTGAATACTACACCAAAATTGAGTGTGCAGTTTTTAGCGCAATTTCCATTCTGGAGAATTGCGTTTATTAACCCGTCATTTCTGGATGGATGGATGAATGGATGAATGTGTGTCCGCAGCTTTAAGTCGTATCTCCTCCTCAACGAGGCAATATCGATGACTAGTTCCAAAAGCAATTATGTTAAGCAAGTTACGAGGATGAGCATAGGCCATACAAATTCCGGGTTTCTTTCATGGATTTCCCGGAAAAGCCAAAAAACCTCGAAAAAATGCAGTTTTTTGCCCATATCTCGGCAACCAGACCACTTAGCGACTTGAAACATGTACCAATCGATTCCTGCCATAATTTAGAACAATATTGCCTAAGAAAGTTTTCAAAAATATCCTTTCGTTCGGTCACAATTTTTTTTTTAATTAATTAAAATTTGGACCGAATTAGTAGGCATTTTTTTCCAACCACACCACACGCGTCATCACGTTCAATAGCTGCGCCATCACGTTCAATGGCTGCGACATCACGTTCAGTAGCTAGGCGCGCAATGGTTTTTAGTCATGTAACTCTATTGTAAATAAAACATGTAAAATACTGAATTTTTTTTAATAAAAAACGTTTTAATAACTAACCAATGGTTTTACTAACCCTGCTCTTGATTTACGCTACGACAGAGCTATTTTTAGATAACATAAGGAAATTGCGCTTAAATGTCACTAGACTTTTTAATTAACTTGTTTATCTTACGCGGAATCATTCTACAAATCAAAGAATTCATCTTGTAATTCATCGTGAATGCTGGCAACATCGAGGGAAGAAGAGAATGGGTAATGCGTCAATGCAGATTCTTTTTTTTCAGCTCAGAGAAATAGCGCTGCAGTTTGTTTTCAATAGATTCAAGATGCCCAGAAATTTCTTCTTTCAAAATTTTAATTATCTCACAATTAGATTCATACACACTGCAGAGTTTCTCAAATTTACAATATTTCCAAGATTTATTTTCTTTGCCGATTTTGCAGCTTTGATAAAATTTCCCCAGATAATCATGGAAAGTGATAATATTCGTTCATTTTCCCTGAAGCTTCAGGTTATGCTTATGTTGATGTTCGAACACATCTGCTAGGTATGATACTCTCTCCAGCCACTCTATGTCGTTTTAAGTATACCAAAAGGTCTTGTTTCCTTTGCATTTCCAAGAACAATTTGATTTCAGATTTCAATTCAAAAACACGATTCACAACAATTCGTTTGACAGCCAGCGCACTGTAGTTCTTTGAAGGCTCCAGATTTTATATAATTTACCACTTATACCAGCAATGGAGTCTTGATGGCGATTGGTGATGGTAGTGGTTAGGGAGCGAAATCTTTTCTGCTTTCTGATAGCCCGATTTTGACCTAAACATAGATGGTGCATCATCCGCACAAACCCTCACAGCCGATTTAACCCATTTTAATCATCCAATTTAAAAAAAAAAACTATTTATTTTCTCCATGCTATCTTCACAAAAGAGCAACTCTTCTTTGCTATCATCTGAATGAATATAAACAAAGACCAGCAACTGCGAACACGAACTCACGACTGTTGATTTATCAACTTGAAAAGCAAACAATGGTGAAAGCTTAATTTCAATAAAAATGTGTTATTAAACATCTACGGACATGTAAGAATTAACTTCACCATCTTCAACATGCAGCGTTTGATGCGATTTTCTCATATTGTGTTTGTTTTCGCTTGGCATTTTCTGTCGCGACTTCATGTGATGCTTGCACTAATGCTGTGTTTCCTTGGTGAAAACTTCCTGTTCGATCAAGTCTCTGACGTTTGCAACTAGCTTCGTACCGACGAAAGAACTCCAAATCTTTTTTGGTGTGTTTCGAATGACTCGTCTCAAATGACGTTTTAGTTTTGAAGATTTCATAAACTGGTGACTGAGAACAACTGTGTACAGTGCGCTTTGCTTCTTCTTTATTCCCTTTCCAGTGATGTTAGTAAAGCCGAATTTCAAAAATTCTTCTAAATATTTATGTTTTGTTTCAAATTACTAAGGTTTAGTATACCAGTTGGCGACCCCCCAGAAAGCCCCAGGTTGGGAACCCGTGTCCTAAGGCGTGGTGTCGCACACTTCTGCATCGAAAGTTGCAGCGATAAAATCTTACGCACACAGAAGTTTCTTTGTTCGAGTACTTGACTGTACACGATTTCCTTAAGTTGTCTACATAAACAGACTCGGTGTAATGCCAGGGAAACGGACTCGTTTTTACTCTCGTAAAAAAAACGTTGAAATCCCGTGACCTGACGGTAGCACCGGTGACAGAGTGCAGGTGCCGGGTGGATGGCGGCGCAGACGTGTGTGCTGCTCACGTTCTCACGTGCCTGGATAGTGTGAACCGTGACGGTTGTAACGTGAGACACGGTTAATATGTGTTGTTGGGGGATGGGGGGGGGGGGGGGGGTATTTCTTAAAACGTTGTTGAGTCACATGAAAACCGTGCGTTTTTTGTTTTTTTTTTCTAGTTTCCTCCGTAGATGACCTATTTGCTGTTTACATTAAGCAATCCAGATCTGTATTTGATTCCCATAGCGTATTTTGACAAAAGCCATACACGTGTTATTTATGTGGGGGAACCAAAGCCATATAAACGAACCGCATCTACTGGGGGTCCGAACTCCTGACCTTTGGGTTGGCAGTGATAGCTCGCCCTACCCTTATTGTTCTATTTAAACTAGTATGAAAACTATCAAATAAATAGAAGAAATGTCTAGTTTTGTATTTTATTTATATGTATTGGCTTATTGTGTATTTACCTATTACTAAGTTCTGAAATAACACTCTTCCACTCCATTTTTTTCCACCACTTCAAAAGCCGAATAATTTTAAAGCATGAGAAGTCATTATCGTAGTTTCACTTTTCTGTTTTGTTTTCAATGCCATTCAACAAAATTGGAATAAATCTACCGTGGACACTCACGATTCAACAATTTTATTACCAGAGTTATCTGATTTCTCTTCCCCACCTTTCTTTTATTCTCTCCCATTTACCCGAACTCAGCATTAACTCCCCTTGAACTGTTTTCCTCCCATGAACACACAGCCTTCTAATTTGTGTTTTTTGTTTTGTTCCAGTTTGTCAACCCAGAACAATCGGGCTATGTCGGGTTCGCCAATCTGCCCAATCAGGTGCACAGGAAGTCTGTGAAAAAGGGCTTTGAGTTCACCCTCATGGTTGTCGGTAAGTGGTGTTGGCTCAGGTCTCACAATCCCCTTGTAACGTCCCCTATCTATCAGCCAAATAGAAGGTGAACGTCCCCGGATTCTTTTTTCGGGGTTATATGCAAATGCCGTACGGCTTAAATGGATGAATACTAACACAACGGCACACTAGGGCTCGAATTCGATGTCTAGGGGAAACTAGTGATACTATTGTAATTAACACTCATCCAATCTACATACAACCTTTAATCAGCGAACACAGTTGTGGCAGAACACAAGGTGAAACTAGATAAAATATTTAATGTATAGAATATCAAAACCCAACTTACAAAATGTAAGAAAAAACACTATCACAGATTTCACCACTGTAAAACTAGCCACAGGCCACACAACACTGCTATAGCTTCAAGAATTACTTGGCGACAAGTAATATTATACTAGAAGACTAAATCAACTTAAGAAAGCGTAGCACACACAGGACTTAAGTTCTCTCACGTTCAAATGGTCAGAATCTATTGCCGGACAATATGGACGGCTGCCTGATCAAGGTAAAACTGCCACGTGTGGCGAGTGTGCGGTCCAATTAAAGACTTCTGCCACAGGGGAGATTATCCTCAACTCATGTAGCCATTGGTTGGGATAGTCATCTGACCAGAATCATTCAATCAGATCTTAATGGAAAATTTCTATGTTGCACAATCACTCCATATAAGGTATTATACAATGTCAAAATAAAAATAGAACCTGACTCGACCTAAGTAGGTCACATCCCCTCCCTTTTTGGAAGTGACAGATAGGTTCCACAAAAACATACATAAGGAACCGATCTGGCAATGAAATAAAAAAAATGTTTTACAAATGTAGGCAATCAAAATCATAAAACCAGATGAAAATATCCCTGAACATAAAAGGGAAGTAACTCAAACTTTTACAATTGGTGAAAGGGAAGTAACCCTTCAAAAAGTAATTATACATCAAAATCCCTCAGAAAAGGGTATTACAACATTTCCATGAGGATATTAAAAGTGGTAAACCCGCTAGGGTAAGACCTTTATTTCAATGACTAGCTACAATATCAACTGAGTCATGTGAGACATATTATTATAAAAGATTACATATAATCAAACACCACCTTTAATTAAGGTTCACCTGAAAATAAACAAAATATTCAACAGGATTGGAATTTTGAAAAAATCAAAAATCATACCACTCATTCCCATGTTAAAACACAACACTTGTGTATGGTCTTAATGAACCACAAAACATGTCACATGATCAATGTGTGCAATAAGATTTTACATCCTTGACAAACAATCAGCCACAACATTATCACTACCCTTAATGTGTGAAATTTCCAGATTAAAATTTTGGAAATATAAGCACCATCTCAATATTCTTTGATTTGTCTGTCCTAACTTAGAGGTAAATTTCAGGGGATCATGGTCAGAAAACACTCTGACTGGATTGGTTGAAGAAGAGACATAGACTTCAAAATGTTGTAATGACAAAACCAAAGCTAAAGCCTCTTTTTCAATAGTAGAGTAATTCTTTTGGTTCTCATTTAACTTCCTGGAAAAAAAGGCAATGGGATGGTCAATTCCCATGTTGTCTTCTTGAAATAGGACTGAGCCAATGGCTAAGTTGCTAGCATCAATGGCAAGTTTAAAGGGCTTGCTGAAATCTGGCGCAGCCATAACAGGAGCATTAGATAAAAATGACTTAATGGTTAAAAAAGCTTCTTGACATTTATTTGACCATTCAAACTCAACACCCTTTTTCAATAATGCAGTAAGAGGTTCAGCAATAGCTGAAAAGTTTTGACAGAACCGCCTATAGTAACCAGCCATCCCAAGGAACTTTTTGATTTCTTTACAATTTTTGGGAGGAGGTAACCTTACAATAGCATCTACTTTAGCTTCAATGGGCCGAACTTGGTTCGTTCCCACTTGATAACCCAAATAGGTAATTGAAGCTTTACAGAACTTGCATAAAAGGTGATTTCTGTAAAGGTTTACAGTAGAATTAACTTCAGACAATTTATGGCTTTCCTCTGTGGACAAATGCATAAGGCGGACATTCAAATTATCTAAAAAGGAAGAATTTACCAATTTTGGGGGTTTCAATTTATCACGTATCACATCATCAGAAACATTTGAACATACAGGTAAGGTAATCTTAGCTGTGGAATGAAAATTGTTACAATTATCATAATACTTTTTCAGTGAGTTAACATGATACACTGTCTGTTTCTTTCTTCTGTCGGGCGTATTGACCACATAGTTCAAATCACTTAATTTTGAATGCACAGTAAAGGGTCCACACTATCTCAAGGATAACGCATTGTTCAGATTAGGCACTAACACAAGAACTTTCTCGCCTGGATTGAATGTTCGTTTACAAGAACTCTTATCATACAGTCCTTTCATTCTCACTTGGGCCTTCCTTAAGTTCTTGTGAGCCATCTCGCACACAGCTTTCAGTCGAACGTGAAAATCGTCAAAGTTTTCCACAAGATGATCGCTGGTACCTGTCCACCGTTCGTGTATCAGCTTCAGGGGACCACGGACAGAATGTCCAAACACAAGTTGAAAAGGAGAGTAACCTAAAGAGTCCTGGACACAGTCCCTCGCGGCGAAAATAATCCAAGGAACAGTCTCATCCCATTGGGTGTTACTGTTAGCGAACGTTCTTAGCATGGTTTTGAGGGTTTGGTGGAACCTCTCAAGTACGCCTTGAGACTGAGGGTGGTAGGCTGAGCTGGTGATGTGGGTAACGCCTAGCTTGGCTAGTGCTTCCTGAAAATGGTGACTGGTGAAGTTGCTGCCTTGATCTGTTTGCACGATTCTAGGTAATCCAAAGGTAGTGAAGAACCGGGTCATGGCTCTGACTACAGTCTTTGCCTTAATGTTCCGTAAGGGAATCGCCTCGGGAAAACGGGTACTTGAACACATAAAGGTAAGTAGGTACTCGTTGCCCGCCTTGGTTTTAGGCAAGGGACCTACACAGTCCATGACGATTTTAGAAAAGGGTTCTTCTAATACAGGAATCGGACTCAAAGGGGCCTTAGGAATTGTCTGGTTTGGCTTTCCGGCCAACTGACAGTTCGTGCAACTTTTACAGTAACGCGACACATCATTTCTCATTTTGGGCCAAAAGAACAGTTCTTTGATCTTCGCCGTCGTTTTAGAGACTCCTGGGTGCGCTGACATTGGATGGTCATGTGCCAGCTTAAGTATTTCATGCCGATAAGGTGGAGGGACCCACAGCTGGTTTTTACCCAACCATGGTTCGGCTGGTGAGGCATCCACTGGTATAGCGCGACGAAAGAAGAGGCCGTTCTCGGAGAAATATTCTCCATCGTCAGATGATAGAGATTTTTCGACCGTTGCTTTGAGTTCCTCGTCGACTTGTTGAGCTTTAATGATGTCTTCCTGAGATATTCTCAGGGGTAAGCCCAGGCTTGTGTTTTCTGGAAGCATAGACTCCAATTTGGGAGTCGAATTTCTTGACGATGATGGCGGGTGTGGTTCAGACGTTATGTCAGCCAATTGTTTGGTCTGGCTTCTTGTCACCGCACATGCAGGATACAGTTCATAATCATTATCTGGAACTGTTGACCAAGGGTCTGAAACCGTACAGGGGTATACTTTGCTTCCCGCAAGGTCATTCCCTAGAAGTAGGTGTACTCCTGGGACAGGAATACTATCTATCACACCTAAAATGACCTCACCTTCGACGAGATGATGTTTCAGAGCAAACTTGTGTAAAGGGACGACAGTTGATTTTGTCCCCACTCCCTGGATAATGGAAATCCTTTCGGTGTTCGTCTCTGGTGTAATGTCCATTGAACTTTTCAAAAGGAGTGATTGTGACGCTCCTGTGTCTCTTAGGACGGTGATATTCCGCTGAGACAACGGATCACCTGGTTTGCTAATGATGGCTTCGGCAATAAAAGATGAAAAGTCAACTTTTCTCGATCCCTCGAGATCGGTAGACTCGGAAGAAACTGGATGGTGGCGAGAACAGTCAAAATGTGACTGCACATAATGTGTGGAGATTTGACTACCTTCTTGCGGACACTTAGGGTTAGAGTCCTTTGGAATTCTAGAGTTCATATTTGAACCGGCAGCTTGAGGGGGTAGAGCATAGTGCGCAGAAGTACGCACCACCTCTCTGTTAAATTGAAGACGTTTGTAACAGTCCTTGACATGATGACCAGGTCTTTTGCAGAACTGGCAAACTGCTCGACGATTGAGAGTTGATCTTGGTTTCTCTCTGGACTGTGATGCCTTCACGTATTGGCCAACAGGAGGATTGCTGCCAAAAAGGGGAAGCACGGGGTTGAGGCGGTTTCCTGACACTGGTGGTTTCTTATGCACCAACATATATGTGTCAGCCGACTCAGCAGCCTTCTGGACGTCAATTATCTTGTTATCCAGTATGTGTAGTCGTATCTCTTCAGGCAGGGACGATAGGAATTCTTCCCTTAGGATAAGTGACCTGAGTTTCTCAAACTCAGAAACTTCTTCAGAGTGTAGCCACCTTGAGAATATTTTCTCCTTTTCAAAGAGAAATTCCACATATGATTGAGTGGGTAACTTGCGGAGTGTTCGGAATTTTGTCCGATAGGCCTCGGGCGTCAGTGCGTAGGCCTTCAAAATGGCAGTCTTGACCAAACTATAGTTATTTTGAACGTCGTGAGAGAGTGCCTGGTATGTTTTTGCAGCTTTCCCAGTAAGGACCGAGCTCAATAAAGCAGTAATGGAAGTTTCGGGCCATTCACATGTCTTCGCTAAACTCTCAAATGAGTTAAAGAAAACGACCAAATCTGTTTCATCAAATTTAGGAACTAATTTCCCAAATTTGGCAATCACTTGCCCTACCGACAACTTTTTTGGATCTACCAGAGAAGTGACATCACTAACTTGACCAAACTCTAATTCCAACCTCCTCTTATCTAAAGCAATTTTAGCCTCTAACTCCTGTTTCTCTAAAGCAACTTTCTCCTTCTCTAAAGCACTTTTAGTTTCAAACTCCTTTTCTTTTAACAAAAGCTCCCTCTCTTCTAGAGGTTTCTCCTCGCGAAGTAACACATCCGCCAACAAACTTTCATCAAATACACCTTCATTAATGAAATGAACAACAATTTTATCTCTCAACACCTCTGATTTCTGCGTAACAGAATAATCCAATTTCAATTCCTTAACAACACTAACCAAAACTTTTCTACTCAACTTTTCTACATCTTCAACCGTGGGATTAGCCAAAAAAGATTCCATAACACTAACTTTCAAATCACAACAAGCCTAGGTTCACTAACTTAACACGGTGCGTTGGGCCGTGTACTTGACCTCTTCAATCTAGGACGACACGTCTGGCTATTGACCTAGATAATCCTAGCCTTGCGCGCGTTTCAATAACACGGCTTCACTGGATATAAACACAACTAAATCAAACTAAACTTAGTGCTTACTGATATAACCAACAACTGGAACGACAGATTAAATCTCGGCGAGCCCCCACTTTGTAACGTCCCCTATCTATCAGCCAAATAGAAGGTGAACGTCCCCGGATTCTTTTTTCCGGGTTATATGCAAATGCCGTACGGCTTAAATGGATGAATACTAACACAACGGCACACTAGGGCTCGAATTCGATGTCTAGGGGAAACTAGTGATACTATTGTAATTAACACTCATCCAATCTACATACAACCTTTAATCAGCGAACACAGTTGTGGCAGAACACAAGGTGAAACTAGATAAAATATTTAATGTATAGAATATCAAAACCCAACTTACAAAATGTAAGAAAAAACACTATCACAGATTTCACCACTGTAAAACTAGCCACAGGCCACACAACACTGCTATAGCTTCAAGAATTACTTGGCGACAAGTAATATTATACTAGAAGACTAAATCAACTTAAGAAAGCGTAGCACACACAGGACTTAAGTTCTCTCACGTTCAAATGGTCAGAATCTATTGCCGGACAATATGGACGGCTGCCTGATCAAGGTAAAACTGCCACGTGTGGCGAGTGTGCGGTCCAATTAAAGACTTCCGCCACAGGGGAGATTATCCTCAACTCATGTAGCCATTGGTTGGGATAGTCATCTGACCAGAATCATTCAATCAGATCTTAATGGAAAATTTCTATGTTGCACAATCACTCCATATAAGGTATTATACAATGTCAAAATAAAAATAGAACCTGACTCGACCTAAGTAGGTCACACCCTGACCACAATCCCCTGACCACAATCCCCTGACCACAATCCCCTGACCACAATCCCCTGACCACAATCCCCTGACTACTAGCACCTGACTACAATCCCCTGGCGACAATCCCCTAACCACAATCGCCTGGTTACATACAATCCATTGACCATAATTTCCCGACTACAATCCGATGACCTGATTACAATCACCTGCCCATAATCCCTGACCACAATCCCCATACAACATTCCCCTGATCACAATCCTTCTACTACAATCCTCTGTCTCTCCCCAGGTGAGTCAGGCCTGGGTAAATCTACCCTGGTCAACAGTTTGTTCCTGACAGATCTCTACCCAGAGAGGCACATCCCTTCAGCCTCAGGTGAGTTCACGGGAGCACACGCACACGCATGATTTTGGGTGGGGTGGGGTGCAGAGTTGTGTGTGTGTGGGAGGGGGGAGAGTGAATGCTACCTCACACCAATTAACACCTCCCCATTTAGTACCTCGTTATCAAAGTTTCAAAACTCACATTATACACGACCTGAAACGCCCCCTACACTTATGTTTACAATGAGTCTGTGACGTCGCTAGATTTAAGTACTGTGGCTCTTTTCAGTTGCTGTATATACACAAAAATCTGTCCACAAGTTAAAAATTAAATGGTTTCAATGTGATTATTGTAATTAAAGATTCAAGGTAAATATTATCCCTGCTGGTGTGTACATTCCTGTTCCTAAAGCCTCTCCTACCTGTTTGTTAACCGTCGTTAGGTGCATACCTACACCATTACGTGCATCATTACCTGCATACCTGCACCCTTACGTGCATACCTGTTTCTGGCAAGAGTTTTGGACTAGATTCTGGCCCAGTATTCATTCAAGACTGAAGACCCATTCCCTTACTCTCTCGATCTACCTCTATGGTGCTATCAATATTTAGCATTCTAACACGCTGCTATATTCTCAAGATTTAGCATTCGAACAAGCAGCTATATTTTCAATAATTAGCAACATTACTCTCTGCTATTGATCTTCTAAACCATCTCCATTCTACCCAAATCTAAGGGGGTCATCCACACGGGGGGGGGGGGGGGGGGGGACAAAAAATTGACTTTTGTGGACGCGTATGGACTTTTATAAAAGGGAAATAAGTGGACGCCAAAATCTAAAAAAATTGTGGACGTCATAAATGGATGACCCCTAATGATGGATCACCAGTTTTCGCCGTGATTACAAACACAACCGGCGTTTCTTATGTCGGCCCACAGATTCGAGAAGTGGACGTTCCATCTCTCGGTCCGCAGATTCCAGATGCGGGCCTTCAATTCTTATACTGGCGGTCCATCTCTCGGTCCGCAGATTCCAGATGCGGGCCTTCAATTCTTATACTGGCGGTCCATCTTACGGTCCACAGACTCCAGATGCAGACCTTCCATTCTTATACTGGCGGTCCATCTCACGGTCCACCGACTCCAGATGCAGACCTTCCATTCTTATACTGGCGGTCCATCTCACGGTCCACCGACTCCAGATGCAGACCTTCCATTCATATACTGGCGGTCCATCTCTCGGCCCACCGACTCCAGATGACGGCCTTCCTTTCATATACTGGCGGTCCATCTCACGGTCCACCGACTCCAGATGCAGACCTTCCATTCTTATACTGGCGGTCCATCTCACGGTCCACCGACTCCAGATGCAGACCTTCCATTCTTATACTGGCGGTCCATCTCACGGTCCACCGACTCCAGATGCAGACCTTCCATTCTTATACTGGCGGTCCATCTCACGGTCCACCGACTCCAGATGCAGACCTTCCATTCTTATACTGGCGGTCCATCTCACGGTCCACCGACTCCAGATGCAGACCTTCCATTCTTATACTGGCGGTCCATCTCACGGTCCACCGACTCCAGATGCAGACCTTCCATTCTTATACTGGCGGTCCATCTCACGGTCCACCGACTCCAGATGCAGACCTTCCATTCTTATACTGGCGGTCCATCTCACGGTCCACCGACTCCAGACGCAGACCTTCCATTCTTATACTGGCGGTCCATCTCACGGTCCACCGACTCCAGATGCAGACCTTCCATTCTTATACTGGCGGTCCATCTCACGGTCCACCGACTCCAGATGCAGACCTTCCATTCTTATACTGGCGGTCCATCTCACGGTCCACCGACTCCAGATGCAGACCTTCCATTCTTATACTGGCGGTCCATCTCTCGGCCCACCGACTCCAGATGACGGCCTTCCTTTCATATACTGGCGGTCCATCTCACGGGCCACAGACTCCAGATGCGGGCCTTCAATTCTTATACTGGCGGTCCATCTCACGGTCCACCGACTCCAGATGCAGACCTTCCATTCTTATACTGGCGGTCCATCTCACGGTCCACCGACTCCAGATGCAGACCTTCCATTCTTATACTGGCGGTCCATCTCATGGTCCACCGACTCCAGATGCAGACCTTCCATTCTTATACTGGCGGTCCATCTCACGGTCCACCGACTCCAGATGCAGACCTTCCATTCTTATACTGGCGGTCCATCTCACGGTCCACCGACTCCAGATGCAGACCTTCCATTCTTATACTGGCGGTCCATCTCACGGTCCACCGACTCCAGATGCAGACCTTCCATTCATATACTGGCGGTCCATCTCTCGGCCCACCGACTCCAGATGACGGCCTTCCTTTCATATACTGGCGGTCCATCTCTCGGCCCACCGACTCCAGATGCAGACCTTCCATTCATATACTGGCGGTCCATCTCTCGGCCCACCGACTCCAGATGCAGACCTTCCATTCATATACTGGCGGTCCATCTCATGGTCCACCGACTCCAGATGCAGACCTTCCATTCATATACTGGCGGTCCATCTCACGGTCCACCGACTCCAGATGCAGACCTTCCATTCATATACTGGCGGTCCATCTCTCGGCCCATAGACTCCAGATGCGGGCCTTCAATTCTTATACCGGCGGTCCATCTCTACGCCCACCGACTCCAGATGCGGGCCTTCAATTCTTATACTGGCGGTCCATCTCACGGGCCACAGACTCCAGATGCGGGCCTTCAATTCTTATACCGGCGGTCCATCTTACGGCCCACAGACTCCAGATGCGGGCCTTCCTTTCATATACTGGCGGTCCATCTCACGGGCCACAGACTCCAGATGCGGGCCTTCAATTCTTATACCGGCGGTCCATCTCACGGTCCACACACTCCAGATGCGGGCCTTCCATTAATGTACCAGACGCTGAGATAACCTCGAGCATTTTACCCTCGATGGCACTTCATCAAGACAATCAACACGTTCACCCCTCCCCTGGTCCCTGCGGTCACCCACCCCTACCTTCCATCCTGACCTTCGACCACCCCCACCCCTCCCTCGCCTCTTAAATTTCCAGGTCACGTCTCATTGACGTGAAAATCGTCTTGAATCCCCTGTGATGGGCTAGGTTATTGACAGTCAATGTTGATTACTCGAGCTTTGTAGTTGGGCTATTGATTTCTTTGCTCATATCACGGCAGATTAGACTTGGATGAAAATGACATCCAGTTTAAGAAAAAAAATTCTGAACTGATGATGGTACTTGGCTAAACATTGCGCTTAAATGTATATTTTTTTCCCTATTGTTGTGTGTAGTCGATGTTTATTTTTCATTAAACTCCAGAAAATTTTGATTTAATTAAAATTTTCAAACGTTTGTCTTCTGCTCAAATTAAAAAAAAAAAAATCAAAAGAAAAACGAAAACATAAAAAAAAAGAGTTAGAAAAAAAAATCTTTTATTGATGGTTTTCTTTTAAATAGATTTATAAATGACAGATATTGATTTTTATACAGGCTGTGTTGATGAGATCAGTTGAAGGAGATTTTAACTTAGGTGGTTTAGATTTTCTAGAGTAAAAATTCAATTATTGAGTCAGTGCTTAGCTCTGTGGGAGACTAGAGAAGGGCGTATAGCCAGCAGAGCTAATGTGTTGTTCTAAGCTGCCAATAATAGCGTGTTGAGTGGACGCTGGTCAGTTTTGTTTGTACCAGTTACCGTGGACACGGGGGGGGAGGGGGGTGTTGGGAGTGTTGCCGGGAGGAGGAATAATAGGAGTGGGTCGATGGCTGATAGTCAGACTGTCGCATCACACTGTCCCGTGATGGTCAGTCAAACTGTCCCGTGATGGTCAGTCAAACCGCCCCATGATGGTCAGTCAAACTCCCATCAAGCTGTCCCGTGATGGTCAGTCAAACTGTCCCATGATGGTCAATTAAGCTGTCTCTTCAAATTGTCCCATGGTGGTCAGTCAAACTGTCCCATGATGGTCAGTCTAACTGCCCCATCAAATTGTCCCATGATGGTCAAACTCCCATCAAACTGTCCCATGATGGTCAATCAAGCTGTCCCATCAAACTGTCCCATGATGGTCAGTCAAACTGCCCATCACACTTAAAGCCGTATTGATTAAATCAAGCAACAGCACATGGATTTAAAATTATATCGACTTTCCATCTCCTGAAATTATTTAATGACAGCTTCAACAAACAGTCTAGCTGTTTACCTTGATAAGATAGGCGCCACGATTAGAAGTTCGGGCAACAGATTGTATAGTTATAACGTTTTCTTTCAACATCATTTACCTATTTATTTTTGGATTTTATGAGTACTGAACATGGTACTAACCATGAGGTTTTGTATGGTACTAACGTGAGTACTTGTATGATAGTAAACATGAGTACTTGTATGGTACTAACTATGAGTACTAGTATGGTACAAAACTTAAAAACGTATACTGAACATAAGTACTTGTATGGTACTAAACATGAGTAATAGTATGGTACTAACGTTAATTACCTATATGGTACTAACGATAATTACCTATATGGCACTCAACATGAGAACGTATACTAACATTGAATACCTGTATGGTACTAACGATAAGCACCTATATGGTACTCAACCTGAGAACGTATACTAACATTGAATACCTGTCTGTTCCAGAGAAAATCGATCAGACGGTGAAGATCGATGCCTCTACTGTGGAGATCGAGGAGAGAGGGGTCAAGCTGAGGTTAACTGTGGTGGACACACCCGGCTTTGGGGACTCGCTCAACTCCATAGATTGGTAAGTTGGTCTGTGGTCAGTTCTTGTGTTGGTCGGTTGGTGTGTTGGTCAGTCTTCGTGTTTGTCGGTTGGTCAGTTTGTGTTTGTCGGTTGGTGTGTTGGTCATTGGTGTGTTCGTCAGTCTTTGTGTTGGTTTGTTGGGTTGTTGGTAAGTCTTCATGCTAGTCAGTCGGTCAATCTTAGTGCTAGTCAGTCGGTCTGTTGGTCAGTCTTAGTGCTAGTCAGTCGGTCTGTTGGTCAGTCTTAGTGCTAGTCAGTCGGTGTGTTGGTCAATTTTAGTGCTAGTCAGTCGGTGTGTTGGTCAGTCTTAGTGCTAGTCAGTTTGTCTGTAGGTCAGTCTTAGTGCTAGTCAGTCGGTGTGTTGGTCATTGTTAGTGCTAGTCAGTCGGTGTGTTGGTCAATTTTGGTGCTAGTCAGTCGGTGTGTTGGTCAGTCTTAGTGCTAGTCAGTCGGTGTGTTGGTCAGTCTTAGTGCTAGTCAGTGGGTGTGTTGGTCAGTCTTAGTGCTAGTCAGTCGGTGTGTTGGTCAATTTTAGTGCTAGTCAGTCGGTGTGTTGGTCAATTTTAGTGCTAGTCAGTCGGTGTGTTGGTCAGTCTTAGTGCTAGTCAGTTTGTCTGTAGGTCAGTCTTAGTGCTAGTCAGTCGGTGTGTTGGTCATTGTTAGTGCTAGTCAGTCGGTGTGTTGGTCAATTTTAGTGCTAGTTAGTCGGTGTGTTGGTCAATTTTAGTGCTAGTCAGTCGGTGTGTTGGTCATTTGCAGTGGAGGTTTGTTGTAGTGTAAGACGATTATTGTGCTGTTCAATTTTAATGTAGGTGACTGAGTTGCTCTATTCAACTTTGCTAATATCATCAGATAATTTAAAGGTATATCAGATTAAAGGTTAGTTGTATCATGGTCAGTTACAGTCCAGGTCATTATTATGCCGTTGGTCAATTTCGACTCTACATATAGAGTCCACACTGTTGTTGCTTATATGCCAAAGTGTTATCCGTGAGCTGTGCAGAGGTGTTTCAAAGTATACAACAAGATTTCTGTCTTTTAAATCCCACCACAGCGCATTAAAAGTTTTTAAAAATCAACGTATAATATTAAAAGGTTTCTTTTCTTTTAAATCCCAACACAGCGCATCGAAATTTTTTAAACCCCACATAAAATTTTGAAATTGAAAACAAAGCCAACGGCCAGTTCATTTTAAAGTGACCTTTTCAAACTTGCGGCTGTCAGCTAAAGAAGCGAGTTAAAAATACATTGCTAAGAACCTTGACCTTTAACCCCCCACAATCATGGACCGTTAGTGCTCGAGGTGCGATGCTAGAAGAAAAAATAAACCAGGGCTGCCATAACAAACCAGTGGCTAGAATAAATAGTTTTATCGTGGGTGAAACCATAATTTTTAAAAATAAAAAATGTACAACATGCGGAGGTCTTAATCAAGGGACTAGGGCTTTTAAACCGAGCCTTAATCGGGGGTTACAGTAGCTTTGAATGTGGTGAAGGAAAGATTTATTGATAATTAAAGGGGCAATGGATAGATAAAGGGATAAAGGGGTTTATGGATAGATAATGGGGCCTATGGACAAATAAATGAAGTCTATGGATAAAGGGATCTATGGATAGATAAAGGGGGTCTATGGCTAGATAAAGGGGTCTATGGATAGAAAAAGGGGGTCTATGGATCGATAAAGGGGGTCTATGGATAGATAAGGGGTCTGTGGATAGATAAAGGGGTCTATGGATAGATAAAGGGGTCTATGGATAGAAAAAGGGGGTCTATGGATCGATAAAGGGGGTCTATGGATAGATAAGGGGTCTGTGGATAGATAAAGGGGTCTATGGATAGATAAAGGGGTCTATGGATAGATAAGGGGTCTGTGGATAGATAAGGGGTCTGTGGATAGATAAAGGGGTCTATGGATAGATAAAGGGGTCTATGGATAGATAAAGGGGTCTATGGATAGATAAAGGGGTCTATGGATAGATAAAGGGGTCTATGGATAGATAAAGGGGTCTGTAGATAGATAAAGGGGTCTGTGGATAGATAAAGGGGTCTATGGATAGATAAAGGGGGTCTATGGATAGATAAAGGGGTCTATGGATAGATAAAGGGGTCTATGGATAGATAAAGGGGGTCTATGGATAGATAAAGGGGTCTGTAGATAGATAAAGGGGTCCATGGATAGACAAAGGGGTATATCGATAGATAAATGAGTCTCTGAATAGATAAAGAGGTCTATGGATACAAAAAAAGGGTCTATGGATAGATAAAGGGGTCTTTGGATAAAGGGGTCTGTAGATAGATATAGGGGTCTATAGTGATACAATAATATTTAGAAGGGCATGGGGATTTGTCAAATGACAATAGGGACATTGTCTGTGCACACGAGTCTTGTTTTAGGGATACAGGGGTCTTTGAATTGTCAAAAGCTCCCTTTTGAACCTGAAGGGCCATGGGCTGGGGCAAGTGAAGTAGAGTTGATCTGTTTCTGTAGCCTCGGGTATTGTTTGGAATTTCAAAGAGGGTCTACAAAATGACAAGGCCCGTGTCATAACAAATTATTCTATGACGTGTTTTAGAGGTTTCGGGTTGAGTGACTGACTAGGAACATTGTGACTGTGTGTTCCTTCCATGCAACATTAGAAACTGGACATTGAACAACATCTTAACGTAGTGGAGATCCTGCGAGCCCGAAGCTGGGATGAATTAGTGTCATATTATAGATCTCGGCTATCTGATGAGGGTTGTCATGACAACCAATCAACAGAACATTCCTCTTGAGAGCGGTGGGGCTTAGGGTAAATCCCACGTAATCATCTAATTAGCTTAATAAAGAGCGAGCGAATGGGGGGGGGGGGGGGGGAGAGGGGTACACTAATTTGTATCGATGGTAGTTGAAGATAGGTGTCGGTCATTTCCTTTATCGGTATTTTTTTTTATACTTCCGGGCATGCGTAGTGAGTGGGGGTTTTGAAAAAGGGCTCTATTTTAATAGAATGTGTTATAAGCTTCGAAATGTATTTTAAAATAAGATAACAAAAGAGCGTTGGGAATCAAATAATACGCACACTCACGTACACGCACGCACTGACACGCTCTCTACAGACACGCACGCTCACCCAGACTCCCGGCGTGAGTAATAAAGAAGGCTCTAATAGAAGGCAAGGGGTGAGCTGACATTAGCTATGTCTAACCTCGGGTCAAACAGCAGACGGTGTAGGGGGGGGGGCAGGGCAGACGGGTGATTCCAATTTTCACGATTAGGCTTGATTTCATTAGTAAATTCCACCCCTGCCTTTCTATGAGCTATTTCCTCTTTCCATGAATTGATTTCATTAGGAAACTCCAGCCTTACTTTCCTGTGAGTTATTACGTCTCTCCAAGAATACCTACGTTTACAGAGCAGGTGTAAGATATACATAGAGCATTGGTTCACCTATGATCTCTATGACTGGGACTATGACCTATCGTGAATTACCTCCCCTTATAATCGCACTTATCTCCCCTAATTGTCCATCCATCAGGCTATTTCTCTCTCTCTTCCCCCCTCTCCCCCTTTCCCATTGTTTTCTATCTTGAACTTGGCTGACTCAGTGCTATAAAGTCAATGAGACGTTTGACCTTTTGGTGCCCCCAGCTTACCTAGACCATGTCTAGAACCTACTGTTTTGTTCCACTTTTCTCCCCCCCTCCTTCTGTGGGAGAAGGTTATAAGCTACTGTCTTACCCTTGCAGCTATTGATGCTATTTCTTTTAAGTTGTTTGCTGTGCATCCAAACAGCTGTCTGCATGTGTGAAGTCACTTTGTTGTAGGACCACAGGTGTCAGTCACAGCATGTACAATATGTTGTACCTGTGGGGGAGGGGGTGGGGTGGGGGTGGGTTGTGTGACAGATGGTAATCAGAGTTCACAAGGTCACAGAGACAAGCTCTTTATCCACATAAAAATACTTCTGCCTGATGTAGTGGTTTAAAAAAAACACCCTTGCTAGCTCTGAGGGTAGGTGAAGCAGTTGCGCTGTTTCTGTGTCTGATCTAATGTTAATTAAACAATTTTTTTCCTGTCATTAACCGTGGTGTCAAGAGTATGTCAAACTGCTTTAAAAAAAAAAAAAACTAATATTAACAAGATTTATCTGAAGTTTATTATTTTTTCCCCCCACAGTTTTAAACCTATCATACAGTACATTGATGACCAATTTGAAAGATACCTTAACGATGAGAGTGGGCTGAACAGGAGGCACATCATCGACAACAGAGTTCATTGTTGTTTTTATTTTGTCAACCCCTCCAGTCATGGGTGAGTACAGCGTTCATAAACGCAGTCTTTTAATCAAGTTTTTTTAACTGTCACAGACTCAATGTTTTCATGGGTGTCCAGTCACTTAATCCCTGGACTATTAATCCCTAAATACTTAATCCCTAACACTTAATCCTTGTCAAGTAACCCCTATTCATTTAATTCCAAGGCACTTTATCTCCAGACTCTTAATTCTTCATAAAGCATTATGTAATTCTGGATTAGGGGTAGGGTAGGATTAAGTGTCTGGGGATTAAAAGTCAAAGGGATTAAGTTTCAGGGTTTGATCATGTCCTTGACCTATGATACAACATTGATAATTACAGCTTGATTGCCTATAGGTGAGGGCAGGGAGAGGGAGGGGCTGCTTAACCCATCACACAAGCAAGTAGAGAGGTCTAGGGGGAGGGGGGTGGTTGTAATACACATTTGAATGTTTAGAAAAAAAAATCCTTTTTTAAAAGTGAAGTGTTGTATTTTTTTTAATAGAATTTGATTTACAGCTTAAGTGATCTTTCTGTTAGACATTGGTACTACATACTAGACTGGATATCAACTATATTTAGACTAGTGGTAATAAACTGCGCTAGCCTAGCTTATAATACATGCAAGCAAAAATATCTAAATGTGTATATCATTTCCCCTTGATTCACTTCCTGGTTTGTTGTTTAATTTTTTAATTTTTTTTAATGAATCCAATAAAACTAAAGAATAATTTGAAGATAATAATATCTATAATATTATTTTCCTTCACAATTTAAAAACTTTAAACAATGCCTTTATGTATTTGACAGGCTAAAACCTTTAGACATAGTCTTTATGTGTTGACAGGCTAAAACCTTTAGACATTGTCTTTATGTTCTGACAGGCTAAAACCTTTAGACATTGTTTTATGTGTTGACAGGCTAAAACCTTTAGACATTGTGTTTGACAGGCTAAAACCTTTAGACATTGCCTTTATATGTTGACAGGCTAAAACCTTTAGACATTGCCTTCATGAAAGCTGTCCACCACAAGGTCAACATTGTTCCTGTTCTGGCTAAGGCTGACACCCTCACACAGTTAGAAGTGGCCAGCCTTAAGAGAAAGGTATGGTTTTGTTGTTTCAGATTTTGTTTGTGTACATAAATGACACATACCATTTTTACACCTGTGTCACATATAAGGAAAGTTGAATAAGCTGGTGGTCGGCATGTTGGGTCGGTTAAGCTCATGATAAGTCCAGAGTTCAAACCCCGGGCAGATGAGGCTCGATAGCTGTGGACAGCCACTCATCTAGGAGAGACAACTACAAAATCAATCAACTGCTGCCGTGTAGTTTTTTCATGGTTGGACAAAGGCTATGGAAGCAAATCCAAAAAGAAAAGCAGGCCTAATTGGCGCATAACCAGTTGACATGTATACTTAATTATGTTGGAGTTAATCCCTTTCGCCACTAAAAATTAAGGATGAAGAAAAAGATAAAGAAGAACTAAAGATCTATTGTAGTCTGTGATTTTTTTCACTTTATAAATTAAGTAAAGATTCACTTCCTGCTTAGTTTGAAGCTTTTATTAATTATCTAAAAATTTACATAATTGGATGAGTATGGCACCAAAATTACCATCCTCCATCTCCCCCTTGAAAAAAAAAGCATTTAGATTTACCCCACTTAAAATTAAATGTTATTCTTGCCCTTGAATATTTTATTTTAGAGGATGAGGATGGCATCAAGATTTATCCCCCTTAAAATAAAACTTTATTCTCTCCCCTGAAGATTTTAGACCAGATAGATGAGCATGGCATCAAGATTTACCTCCCTTTGAAATAAAACTTTATTCTCTCCCCTGAAGATTTTAGACCAGATAGATGAACATGGCGTCAAGATTTACCCCCCTTAAAATAAAACTTTATTCTCTCCCCTGAAGATTTTAGACCAGATAGATGAACATGGCATCAAGATTTACTCCCCTTCAAATAAAACTTTATTCTCTCCCCTGAAGATTTTAGACCAGATAGATGAACATGGCATCAAGATTTACCTCCCTTAAAACTAAACTTTATTCTCTCCCCTGAAGATTTTAGACCAGATAGATGAACATGGCATCAAGATTTACCCCCCTTAAAACAAAACTTTGTTCTCTCCCCTGAAGATTTTAGACCAGATAGATCAGGGGTTCCCAACCTTTTTTTACTCCAGAGCACATTCTAAAATATCGGTAGAGTGGCGGGCACCACCTATTTTAAATCGACAAACTCCTTCCAGAGGCGTAGCGACCGTTCCCGTCACCCGGGGACAAAACTTTCGATTTGCACCCCCCCCCCCCCTGTCAAACTTTCGATTTCCATCCCCTTCAACCTTTCAATAATGTTTATGAAAACCATTCTGTCTCTGTCGAATAGTGAGAGGCGGGTACATACAAACCGTTCGGCGGGCACCATGGCGCCCGCGGGCACGGGGTTGGGAACCCCTGAGATAGATGAACATGGCGTCAAGATTTACCCCCCTTAAAATAAAACTTTATTCTCTCCCCTGAAGATTTTAGACCAGATAGATGAACATGGCATCAAGATTTACTTCCCTTAAAATAAAACTTTATTCTCTCCCCTGTAGATTTTAGACCAGATAGATGAACATGGCATCAAGATTTACCCACTACCAGACTGTGATTCTGACGAGGATGAAGATTACAAAGAGCAGTGCCGCCAGTTAAAGGTACCTGATGTGTTTGTAATATTTGTCCACTATATGGGAATGTTAAAATGTAAGAGGGGTGCTAGTCTAAAATAGTATGAGACATTGCTATGGTATTTCTAGGTAGGGTAAACCACCATGATTCAGTAGCCTTAGCTTGGTTTTAGAGTTGTTAAAGTGAAATAACATCATTACTGTGTACTTACAACTATTAAGCAACATGGTCATTTATTAGCAGAAGAGGGAGAAGAGAGAGAAGAATAGCCTAGTGGATGGGCTACTAGGGGAGATAAGTGTGATAATAAGGGGAGGTAATTCACAATAGGTCACAGTCCCATTCATAGAGATAGGTGAACCAATGCTCTATGTACATCTAACCTGCTCTGTAAACGTAGGTATTCTTGGAGAGAGGGAATAGCTCACAGAAAGAAAAAATGGGATATTCTATCTCTACTTTAAGAAACAAAACTAATAAAATAAGCAGTTGTGAACATATTACATTTTCTAGTGAGCTGCGCAATGTACGGGATGTAATAAGACTTTTGTATGTTGAATTTTTATTTTAGAATGCTGTCCCTTTTGCTGTGGTGGGAGCCAACACAATCATTGAGGTCAAGGGTCGCAAGGTCAGAGGTCGCATGTACCCTTGGGGTGTTGTGGAGGTGGAGAACCCTGAACATTGTGATTTTATCAAATTGAGGACTATGCTCATGTAAGTCACTGTGGACAGTACTTTGTCTCTGGGTTAGAGGCTAGGGGTCATGGGGGTCAGAGGTCGCATGTACCCTTGTGGGGTGGGGGGGGGGGGGTTGTTGAGGTGGAGAACCCTGAACATTGTGATTTTATCAAATTGAGGACTATGCTCATGTAAGTCATTGTGACCAATATTTTTTTGTTGGGTTAGAGGCTAGGGGTCAGAGGTTGTAGTATTCATGGTAAAGCTTTGAAGAGATGTAGGTTTGAAAGCTTTTGTTTTCAATGAATAGTGCTAGAATTTACTGATCATGTAAAAACAAAAATTTAATACCCTGATTGTTGATACAAGTGTTTGTGACAGAGGTTGTTAAAAGTGTTTGTGACAGGAGTTGTTTAGTGTTTGTAACAAAAGTTGTTTAAAGTGTTTGTGACAGGAGTTGTTTAGTGTTTGTGACTGGAGTTGTTTAAAGTGTTTGTGACTGGAGTTCTTTAAAGTGTTTGTGACAGAAATTTGTTGTAAGTGTTTGTGACAGGATTTGTTTAAAGTGTTTGTGACAGGAGTTGTTTAAAGTGTTTGTGACTGGAGTTTGTTGTAAGTTTTTGTGACAGGAGTTGTTCAAAGTGTTTGTGACTGGAGTTCTTTAAAGTGATTGTGACAGAAGTTTGTTGTAAGTGTTTGTGACTGGAGTTGTTTAAAGTGTTTGTAACAAAAGTTGTTTAAAGTGTTTGTGACAAAAGTTGTTTAATGTTTTTGTGACAGGAGTTGTTTAAAGTGTTTGTGACAGAAGTTGTTTAAAGTGTTTGTGACAGGAGTTATTTAAAGTGTTTGCAACAGGAGTTGTTTAAAGTGTTTGTGACATGAGTTGTTTAAAGTGTTTGTGACAGGAGTTATTTAAAGTGTTTGCGACAGGAGTTGTTTAAAGTGTTTGTGACAGCTGTTGTTTAAAGTGTTTGTGACAGATGTTGTTTAAACTGTTTGTGACAGATGTTGTTAAAAGTGTTTGTGACAGGAGTTGTTTAAAGTGTTTGTGACAGCTGTTGTTTAAACTGTTTGTGACAGATGTTGTTAAAAGTGTTTGTGACAGGAGTTGTTTAAAGTGTTGTGACTGAAGTTTAGTGTTTGTGACAGAAGTTGTTTAGTGGTTGTGACAGAAGTTGTTTAAAGTGTTTGTGACAGCTGTTGTTTAAAGTGTTTGTGACAGCTGTTGTTTAAAGTGTTTGTGACAGGAGTTGTTTAAAGTGTTTGTGACAGAAGTTGTTTAAAGTGTTTGTGACAGGAGTTATTTAAAGTGTTTGCAACAGGAGTTGTTTAAAGTGTTTGTGACAGCTGTTGTTTAAAGTGTTTGTGACAGCTGTTGTTTAAAGTGTTTGTGACAGCTGTTTTTTAAAGTGTTTGTGACAGTTGTTGTTTAGTGTTTGTGACAGCTGTTGTTTAGTGTTTGTGACAGCTGTTGTTTAAAGTGTTTGTGACAGCTGTTGTTTAAAGTGTTTGTGACAGCTGTTGTTTAAAGTGTTGTGACTGAAGTTTAGTGTTTGTGACAGAAGTTGTTTAGTGGTTGTGACAGAAGTTGTTTAAAGTGTTTGTGACAGCTGTTGTTTAAAGTGTTTGTGACAGCTGTTGTTTAAAGTGTTTGTGACAGAAGTTGTTTAAAGTGTTTGTGACAGCTGTTGTTTAAAGTGTTGTGACTGAAGTTTAGTGTTTGTGACAGAAGTTGTTTAGTGGTTGTGACAGAAGTTGTTTAAAGTGTTTGTGACAGCTGTTGTTTAAAGTGTTTGTGACAGAAGTTGTTTAAAGTGTTTGTGACAGAAGTTGTTTAAAGTGTTTGTGACAGGAGTTATTTAAAGTGTTTGCAACAGGAGTTGTTTAAAGTGTTTGTGACATGAGTTGTTTAAAGTGTTTGTGACAGGAGTTATTTAAAGTGTTTGCGACAGGAGTTGTTTAAAGTGTTTGTGACAGCTGTTGTTTAAAGTGTTTGTGACAGATGTTGTTTAAACTGTTTGTGACAGATGTTGTTAAAAGTGTTTGTGACAGGAGTTGTTTAAAGTGTTTGTGACAGCTGTTGTTTAAACTGTTTGTGACAGATGTTGTTAAAAGTGTTTGTGACAGGAGTTGTTTAAAGTGTTGTGACTGAAGTTTAGTGTTTGTGACAGAAGTTGTTTAGTGGTTGTGACAGAAGTTGTTTAAAGTGTTTGTGACAGCTGTTGTTTAAAGTGTTTGTGACAGCTGTTGTTTAAAGTGTTTGTGACAGGAGTTGTTTAAAGTGTTTGTGACAGAAGTTGTTTAAAGTGTTTGTGACAGGAGTTATTTAAAGTGTTTGCAACAGGAGTTGTTTAAAGTGTTTGTGACAGCTGTTGTTTAAAGTGTTTGTGACAGCTGTTGTTTAAAGTGTTTGTGACAGCTGTTTTTTAAAGTGTTTGTGACAGTTGTTGTTTAGTGTTTGTGACAGCTGTTGTTTAGTGTTTGTGACAGCTGTTGTTTAAAGTGTTTGTGACAGCTGTTGTTTAAAGTGTTTGTGACAGCTGTTGTTTAAAGTGTTGTGACTGAAGTTTAGTGTTTGTGACAGAAGTTGTTTAGTGGTTGTGACAGAAGTTGTTTAAAGTGTTTGTGACAGCTGTTGTTTAAAGTGTTTGTGACAGCTGTTGTTTAAAGTGTTTGTGACAGAAGTTGTTTAAAGTGTTTGTGACAGCTGTTGTTTAAAGTGTTGTGACTGAAGTTTAGTGTTTGTGACAGAAGTTGTTTAGTGGTTGTGACAGAAGTTGTTTAAAGTGTTTGTGACAGCTGTTGTTTAAAGTGTTTGTGACAGAAGTTGTTTAAAGTGTTTGTGACAGAAGTTGTTTAAAGTGTTTGTGACAGGAGTTATTTAAAGTGTTTGCAACAGGAGTTGTTTAAAGTGTTTGTGACAGCTGTTGTTTAAAGTGTTTGTGACAGCTGTTGTTTAAAGTGTTTGTGACAGCTGTTGTTTAAAGTGTTTGTGACAGCTGTTGTTTAAAGTGTTTGTGACAGCTGTTGTTTAAAGTGTTTGTGACAGGAGTTCTTTAAAGTGTTTGTGACAGCTGTTGTTTAAAGTGTCTGTGACAGCTGTTGTTTAAAGTGTTTGTGATAGCTGTTGTTTAAAGTGTTTGTGACAGCTGTTGTTTATTGTGGTTTTAAAGTGTTTGTGACAGCTGTTGTTTATTGTGGTTTTAAAGTGTTTGTGACAGCTGTTGTTGCGGTTTTAAAGTGTTTGTGACAGCTGTTGTTTATTGTGGTTTTAAAGTGTTTGTGACAGCTGTTGTTGCGGTTTTAAAGTGTTTGTGACAGCTGTTGTTTATTGTGGTTTTAAAGTGTTTGTGACAGCTGTTGTTGCGGTTTTAAAGTGTTTGTGACAGCTGTTGTTTATTGTGGTTTTAAAGTGTTTGTGACAGCTGTTGTTTAAAGTGTTTGTTTGACCATTCCAGCACACACATGCAGGACCTGCAGGAGGTGACACAAGAGACCCACTATGAGAACTACAGGGCTGAGAAGTTGGCCCATGGTGGCAGCAGTAAGTCAGGGTGAGTACACATATCTCTGGGGTTTTATCTGGGCATTCACTGGTCAACAACTGGTCATTTACTGATTTAGTCATTTTCTGGTCAGATATTGGTCATTCATAATTCAGCTATTGGTCATTTACCGGTCAGCAACTGGTCATTCACTGGTCTGCAATGAGTCATTTATCAATTTAGTCATTTACTGGTCAGCAATTAGTCATTCACGTGTTAGAGGTTGGTCATTTACTGATCATTCATTGGCCACTTTCTATCAGATGCTGGCCAAATACTCAAATACTTGTCATCTATTAAATTTTTACAGTTTATTTACTGATTAAATACTCAAATACTGGTCATCTTACTGAAATTCTATTCTCATTTAATTGGTTATCTATTGGGCATTCGTCTTCTATTGGTAATTCACTGGCCAACTGAATTCTTACTGCAGAAAAAATTAAATGGAATTCTTTCTGTTTTCTATCATAGATACAGAGAAAAATAAATGCATCTTAGAATTGTACCCTATCTCTCAAGTCTGCTGATATGGAAATAAAAGAGAAAAAACTTTCTGTGTATAGGCCAACCATTATTGTTTTAGAATTAGTTTGTGTAGAGCTGGGTCCTTTCAGTAATAAATGATTGCTAATTATAAAATTTAGATCAGAAGTCATTTTGTTCTCTGTACCGTAGTAAAAAGAATTTAAACAATGTATGTATTACTGAAATTAGTTATCCGTAATTAGCAATATGCCCTCAGAGTTATAGACTGCAGAGTGATGTGACTATTTGGTGCATGTAAATTAATACCTCATCTCCCTCCCTTAATTATCAATTAGTTTGCAAGTGTTTTAGAGTGGTTTCCCTTTTGTTTATTATGTTCAAAAGCTCCTGATTTTCTGGTTCATACTGTTTTCAAGTTCTCTATTGTTTTTAATACCAAACATAATAAATGAGAATCTAAAAATTCTTTTGCCTTCATGTATATATTTCATTTGAAATATACTTTTGCTAGTAATTTTTTCATAATTAATTATAACCCTAATTCAATAGGGCTTATTTCATTAATAAATTATTTCATTAGCAACACATTTTCAGTTTATATACATCATTTCTGACTTAATAAAAATATATAGGTAAAAAATACCTAGCCATGATTGAATTAGTAACTCCCTTGAATTGCAGCCCAATATTAGAAATGAATGCTTCCCCTTCATAGAATGATTCTCTAATGTTGAAATTACAATCCCCACTAATTGGTTAATTAGAGCTAATTGATCAGGATGGGGAGGGGTGGGATTGCCTTACAGTTAGTTTTTAATTTATCATAACCATATTCATCATGTTTCATTATATGTTGTCTTATTTTGGGAAGGGGTGGTATTGCCTCACAGTTAAAGTGGGGTTAAAATTATCATCATAATATCCATCATGTTTCATTATAGGTTGTCTTATTTTGGGAAGAGGTGGTATTGCCTCACAGTTAAAGTGGGGTTAAAATTATCATCATAATATCCATCATGTTTCATTATATGGTGTCTTATTTTGTTTCTCTCTCTTTTTTCTTCCTTTTTGATTATTTTATCTTGACTATGGTTAACCCTTAATGGACGGTCTGCGCCACATTATCTACCCACTGATGGGTCATTGGGTAAGCTTGAAAACTAAAGAGTTAACACATTTTATTTATTGACAACTTCTTCAGTGTATGTGCGGCTGTAGCTCTGTACAAAACATGATAAAGTCAAATGTTTACTGTAAAACTTGTAAAGAAAAACATGATGAAGTCAAATGTTTACTGTAAAACTTGTAAAGAAAAACATGATAAAGTAAAATGTTTACTGTAAAACTTGTAAAGTTCGGCCGGTTGCCTTGTGAAGAGCTTGCATGTTTGATTGTTGTATGGGCACATATGTTTTTTATATATATACGCATGTGTTTATATTCTATTTTCAACGCTTTTCAGATTCTTATATTTCTTGAAATTTTATTTAATATTTTTTATTAGAGATATTGGCGACTCCATGTTATCTTGGGCACAAAAGGGATAAGATATATATATATATATATATATATATATATATATTAGAGATATTAGTTGTTTTTTTTTATCTCAAATAAGTTGCGTTTGTTTTTTATTTTTTTTATTATTTTAAGTAAAGTTTAAATTTAATATTTATGTAAAATAAGTATAAGTGTGTATCTAAGTGCTATCTTAAAAATGTTGCTACTTTAAATGACAAATTTTATTAGGTTAAAAGTAGTTTGTGTTGTTTGTTTTTGTTAATTTGTCTTTATCATGTTTTGTGCGGCTTTTATTTTGTGCTCCCACTGATTTTACTGACCTGTCTAGTTTTGCTTACATGTTAAAAAACATTAATTTTCTCAGCCATCATGGTTTTTATTTATCAACCTAATTAAAACCTAATTAAAAAACTCCCAGGAGGTTTTACTGTGTGCTTACATTTTGACAATTTTCTTTTTTTAAATTTTAAAATCCAACCATTATACAATGTAATCAAATTTGATTAATTTTTAACTAATTAAGAATTTTTTTTAAAAATCTAACCAGAATTAAATTAAATTCATTTTAATCAATTTAAAAAAGTAATTAAAATGTATTTTTAACCAAAATGTTTTCTCTTGAAAATCAAATTCAAAGCATTTGATAATATATTTTTTTCTTTATCTCTGTTTCTGTGAAGGCCAAATGGAATGAAATCAATCAATGTTTTGTTTCACTTGCAATCTGATTCAACTTTTTCATCTGCTTCTTTTTTCAAGGTTTAAAAAGGGCAATTTTTCTTGAACCAACAAACAAAAACTTGATGAATGTTGTCCTTAAAGCTGTCTTACAATCTATTCCACTCTGTATTATAGTGTTTCCTACATGCTGTTATACTGTTGTCCTATTTGCTAACATAGGACTGTCCTACATCAAGGTGTAGCTGATCAACAGTCATAGGGCTGTACTAGGTCCTGTCTTACTTGCTGTGATAGTGTTGCTGTCTTACATAATGTCATATCACTGTTCTAGTCCTGTCCTACATCTTGTCTTATATGTTGTCCTACATTGAAACAGTCATGGCATGATGCTAAACATGATGTGGGCTCTGGATGTCCTTTAAACAAGACCCAAGGAACCAAGCGTGTGACTTTTATGGCCAGCAGTCTTGTATTCTACCAAAATACACCATACATCCTCTATCCTCTCTAATATTATGGCTACCTGTCTTGCACTACCAAAATACACACTGGATCCTCTCAAAGATTGAAATGTTCACCTCTCCAAAGCTTCCTCCACATACCTTTGGCTGTCATGCACATTTTTTTGTATTCTCCCACCTGCTCACCATAGCTTTGAACATTTTTTTAAAATGAGATCCCTCTTCTTATTTTAATTATAGCAGCATTTGTTGGGGAAAATTCTTGGCATAGCTTTTAAACAAAATAACATTCTAATTCTGCGGAAACAGTTCATAGAAAATAAAGACAGTTAATAATTTTATCTTCTAAAATCTTAAAATTGTATAATTTTTCCTAACATTTTTACCTTTTACTTAATAACTAATTGAAGTGAGTGAACAGGTGTTCTCAAAGAAGATGATGTAGATCTTTAAAGTTAACTATTTAAACTATTTTAATGTTATAGTTCTTATGATCAAAATTGGAATTTTAACTTTAAAAAAACCATTCACATTTATAATGGCCTTCTCAGTTTCAGTTTATTTTAGAGGATTATAATACATGTATCACAGAATTTATAAAATTATTTCCCTGCAGTTTCTGTGTTAATAAATAATTTTCTAAAACATTTCTTTATTTTTTTATCAACAGAAAATCTGCACCTGTGTCTAGAATGGAGAATGGAGGAGGTGATATGTCTGATAAAGAGAGAGAACTCCGGCAGAAAGAAGCAGAAGTAAGCTTCCTTTGTTATATTGCCAATTCATGTTTGTTTTTAAAATATGGCTATCTGTGTTTTTAGTTTGCTGTTTTTAAATTATTTTTTTTGTAGTCTAGTTAAATTTTAACAGCAAATGCAAAAAAAAGCACTGTTGTGGAATAGTTTAGAAAATGCTTATTTAGAAAAATTATTTAGAGCAGATGGAATATATATATTTTTTACAGCAAGAGTAATGCCCCTGTGATAAGTGTTTCTGTAGTGACCAACATTAAGCAGCTCTCATTTGTAAAATAAATATATTTTTATTAAAATGAAAGGTGTATTTGATGAGTTAAACATTGAGCACTTTCTTGTATTACCAGCTAGAGTAATGCCCCTTGTGATCAGTGTTTCTGTAACATTAAGCAACTCTCATTTGTAATCTATATTAAAACAAAAGGTGCATTTGATGAGTTAAACATTGAGAATTTTCTTGTGTCACCAGCTGAGAAAGATGCAGGAGAAACTGGTGCGCATGCAGGCAGAGATTGATTCAAAGAAACCACAGCTGATTCAGAATGGTGACCTCAAATCACAAGATGTCTAGTTTAGTTTTTGTTTTTTTACAAATGCTTATTGTAACATGGTACGTGTTGGTTTTCTTTCTCATTGCTGCATCTCCAGATGTGTTTATTTGTAATATATTCTGACTTGTCAGAATAGAATTATACAATCCATATACAATTAGTGTTAGTTTATATAGTTATGTTATGTTAGTTGCATATTTATGCTCAAGATCAGCTTGTGCAATATGTAAAGCATTTTAAAAATGTATAATTGTGTTTATAGTTGTTATGAGGGGTAAGGCGGGGTATGTTTGCAGGTGCTTTTCTGTCTAATTTTATCTAAAACAATGAAAGATTGCTATTTCAGGACCAGTGTGTTTCAAAGCTTACACAACGTCAACACCGTGTTCAAAGTCAATCAAAGGATTCAGCATTCAACAGACCAGCTCAACAGCTTCAAGTCATTTTTGTACATCTCATTCAGTCATATCACAGTCATATCACCTACCACTTGACTTTTTTTTTTTTTTGTTTCAAATTTGATCATATCACCATCATCCTCCATGTCATGTTGTGTGTTTGTTTCATTATTTTTAACATGGGTGCATATTTTTAATGCATTGGCTAAAAAAAATGTAAATATTTATTGTTTATTTTGTAATTTTAGCCATTAGAAAACAAGTAGTTTTAGTATTATAGTGAAATAAAAAAAACAACTAGGACAACATATGACGTTTTCTTAACTCAAAATGATTAATCAAATTACCCCATTATTAGACTACTTTAAATAATTTTACAGATACATTTGATACTAGAATTTTTCTTTTCGGATTAGCATTGTGTTATGCTTTTATTTCTAATTTTAAAATAGTTTTAAACATTTAAATTGTTTTTTTTTTTTAGGAAAGCAGAATTCTAGGTGTGGCAAAATAAGAAAGTTGTCAACCAATTATTAATTATTTAAAACATTAATCCCTCGTCAGAAAAGATTAACACCATTTGTCATGACCTTAGTCCACAGAGCTATTAAAAATAGTTCTATAAATATCCCATCCGTTCAGATTTAACTGATTAACATCTAATCTAGGGAACTAAAATATAAACAAAATTATTATACAAGTGCATACACTTTTTTGTTTAGTTATTTTGTTTTTACAGCAGAAGTTCAAACAACATTTACTATGGTAACCATGAAGCATAAATGTAGAAGTTAGTAAGATGGGCAGCTCTGGGCTTGAAAGGGTTAAATTTTTATTTTTGACTGGTGGTTGGTTGGCTTGAGGGTTCGTGTAGTTCCATTTTTTTTTTACAGTGTGACTGACATTTGTTATGTAATCAAGGAAGCGTTTTTTTATAAACTGTAACTTTGTAAAACAAAACTTCTTGAAAGATTTTTATCTGGTTTCTGCAATGATTATTGCATGTTCATTATTGAATATAGTATAACATAGTATTTTAACTCTTTGTTCAATTGAAAAAAGTAATTTTATGTTCTTGTACATCGCTGAATATGTCATTGTTATTTATGTACACGGCTAACTTCTGTGAAAATTTAAATCTTGGATAAAAATGTTCCAATAAAATACATGGAGAAATGAGAAGATATGTGAATGGAAAATCCACCTGACAATATCTTTGAATGTATTGACTGTATTAAAGAACATAGCTCATACTATTGAAACTAAAGTGCTGAAATAACTCATTCTGTCAAAAATCTTTAAAATTATAAAAAAAATTTAAAATATCTTTTTGGTAAAACAAATGTATTGGATTTTAAATTTGTAAAATTTTATTTAGAAGCTTAAAAAAACAACACGTTTTTGATTTTGAAAGGACTGTTTTGAAATTTTAAAACTTAAGTTTCAGCAGTATCTGATGATCTTGTTTTTAACCCCTCATAAAGAAAAATCTGGCAACTCAGTGATAGTTTGCTCTTGTTTTGTAAATCCTGCATTCATTCTGCATCCTTTGTAAACCACTCATCCACAGAAATTGATTCTGTCATGAGTTTTCTCCATAACATTGGCTATGTATTTTCTTCCTTTTATTTCTTGAAATCCTTTTATCTTAACTGTAAGTATTAGAGTAAATTTACTATTTAAAAAATCCTGTTTAACATTTGTTTTGCAGAAATTTTCCTGTTTGTTACAGTGGGTGATCAATATTAAACCAAAGGAATAGAATAAAAATTATTTGAAGTTAATATTTGAGTTAATCTGAAAGATGAAAATCTAGCTTTAAAATTAGCTTTAGGTTTTTTTGCGTCACGTTTTAACCACAGATTTCTCCCTTTAAAATCTCACATGAAGCAATGATAGAAATATTTATAAAGAGTTTTGTATATTAAAGGCGATCATGGCAGAGAAAACTATTTTTTAAAACTATATTTTGTTTGTTCACTATTCCATACTGTGACAATTGAGTGCAAGACACAGTGCTTCATGTCTCCATAACGTAACCATATTGTTCGCATCGGACGTCAAATAGTTTTTTGTACTCATTAAACATTTCAAATTTATTTTCACGTATTGACCGAGTAACTAATAGAAAAATGTGTTAAATCTGTAAGTAAAATTGACCAATGTTAATCAGCACAAACACAACAATTGAACTTAGTTATAAGCTTATTCAAATTATATATGCTGTTCACTTGGTTTTTTTTTCAATTATCATTTTTGTTAATTGCCAAAATCATGTATTGACTGAAATACTGTTCAAATGAAATCTCAGTATTGAAACCAAGGCAGTAATTCATGTATGTCCTGTTGCAGGTCCATTGAATTGATTGTACTGTACATAGCCTGATCTAGACTTGTCTTTGTAGAACATCAGTCATTTTATTTTCTGACTAATGGATGTGCAATTTTCACTCCCCCCTCCCTCAACAGTCTGCGCTTAGGCATTGGCTGATTTGTGTGCTTTATGTTGTTCTAACCTGTCTACACTCCTCCCCCGTCTACACCTTCCCTCTTGTTTTGTATTTAAAATATATGCTGTTCTGCTTCAACTTGCTTTTTTTTTAAACAGAAAAAAAAAATCTCTTTTGACAGTCCAACTGTTAAAAGAGACTCCAAAGCTTTTTTTTATATAACTAGTTAATTTAACTACACATTTAAAACAAGATATTTTTTAAACACAAAAAAATTTCTAAATTAAAACTTTTCTTAATTTTAATAAAACCCTTAAATTTTATATATCACCATGAAAATGATTATAAATACGATTTTCAACAATGGTAACCAATGAAGAGCTACAATTATGTAATCATATATCTATGTAAAGAGCTTTTATACTTTTTACAATATCAAATTCTGCTGATGTAATCATCAAGCATGTACTATAAGGGGACGTAACTCCACCAGTGTCATACTAATTCAAATTTTGTGTTTTCTTCATTCATCTGTACATTCATAAGCAGTATATGCAAATTATACTACTATACACAAATTTGAATATGTAAATTACTAACATACATACTTCAATTTTTACTTTGCATTGCTTGTTTTTTATGTTAATCATTTTTGTCTTTTTTTTTAAAATTTAGATGTTTGGTGCCACTTTTTTTTTTCTCTAAATTTAAGTTAGATAAAATTAGCTGTGTACACGGTTAAAGTGTACCAGACAATAGCTAAAATCATCTGTTTTCATTGGTTCCCTACTTAACATATTTTTCTAAGTGCCTGTTTAAACATTAGTTAATAATTTTTTTTTAATATTTAAATTTTTTTTTAATGATTGTAATTTTGTCACTTCCTATGGATTTTAACATGTCACATTTCTAAGTTTGGAAAAAAAAAATCTTTTCAAAATTGAATAAAAACATTGAAAAAATAGTTGATTTAATTATTTTTAACCACATTTTTTGGCATATTTTATTTATTTCAAAGCTGCTTATTTGGATAATGATAAAGTTGTGTAAAACAGAATTTGTAAACTTTATCCTGTTATCTAGTTAACCTAACCTCCAACTTCAAAATTGACAATATTATTCATACTTTGAATGATAATTGTCACTTTTGTGGATATATCCTGGTCAGAATGTCCACTTTTTGTGTTAGTACATATTGGGTGGTCAAAATGTTTTTGTTTATACATTGTAGGACTGTTTTAGATATACACAACAGTTTCAAGCAGTGCTATAAAGCCATATAGATGAAGAATCTAACAATTCCTTCACCCTTGCCTATTTTTAAACATGCAGGTCTCTGCCAGGCTTTTACTTCCCTATTTAGGGTCAGAGGTTGACCTTTAGCCTCTACCCTAGGTACTAACTTGTGACTTTCATGTGAGCAAGTCTTGAACCAAACCTCCTCCCCAAGATGTGTGGGGGTACATAGTGGAGCTGGTCATCATGTGGATTGTGGTTGTTTAAGCTCATGTGGTAAACATGGCAAGTGGTGTATATATCGGGGTCTGGGTCCATGGGAGGGGTTATACCCCCCCCCCCCTTGCCTACACCACTGAATATGGCCCCCAATTTTGACCTTTAACCTGACCAAAAGAGTTTTTCTCTTAATTAAAAGAGGTTAATATCACAGTTTTAAACAATATGCCTTATGCCAGAACTATCACAACAGCTTGCTTTAAATAAATAGTTATTTTAATTACGAACATTAAACTCAAACTTGTGATGGTTTTTATAAGTGATTTTAATAAATCCAGCCCATTAAAGCTTATAAATGATAAATCCTTAAAAACATTAGTAGTCAAATATTCAAATACACTTTCCAAAATTATTGTCATCTTTAACAATGTACAAATAATAATTACTTAAAAAATAGTTTTTTTTAGTTAGTAAGCTTACATTTTTTAATTACTTTTTTTTAATTAAAAAAATTATTCTTTATAGAAATCAAATTATAAGAAGACCATTTACTTCATTTAAAAACAGTTTGTAATATATCAAAATGTATCAGGATGTTTAAACAGGTTTAAATTCGAAACAGTGTTAAGTGCTTTACTAGTGTATGTTTGCTTGTGTAAGATTAACTAACAGAAGAAAAAAACACAAAAAGAAATCTATTGCATCCTTGGTTGGTGACCATCATAACGAATAGGGGGGAAATGATTTACCCTTGTGGGCTCCTGATAATGTGGGGGGTTGTAAAGACCCCATTTAGGGTTCGGGACCTCCTGTGGAAATGGAACTGGGTAGCCCCAGTTGCCTGTGAAACCCTTGTTGTGGGGCATTGGCCTTTGAACATCTTTCATCATGGTCTCATTGTTGTAGGGAACGAAATCATCAAGTTTTCTGGAAGTTGGTTTTGATGGCCTTTCCCAGTGCCAGTTGACATTTTTATAGTCAGCTGAAAATTGTCAATATATCTTTAATAAATCATGTTACATATTATGTGTATAATAAAGATTGAGGGACTAAAAACATTTTTAAGTACTAACTTTTGTGTAAATAATTGGCTATTAAAGTCCTCAAATTGAACATATTTTACTGATCTTGTTACCATAACCCAGTCTATGGACCTAACCTTAACTTCAGTCACATAGTGCGAACCCTGGCCATAATGTTAACCCTAACCCAAACATAAATGCCAGCTAAAATACAATCTTCTATAATGCTGCATTGCTATATATATATATATATATATATATATATATATATATATATATATATATATATATATATATATATATATATATATATATATATATATATATATATATACATATATATATATATATACATAAAAAAAATAATGACAAAAAATAAAACCAAAATAAAAAAACAAAACTATCACTTCCTGATTCTACATTTAAATTTCCTTGATGTTCTAAAAGTACAGTGGAAATGAATAACATTTCTGAGTATCTGCAACTGTAAACTGACTTTATAAAGTACAACAAGTAGCCTCTTAAGCCATCTCAGTAACTAAATGTACATCAACCCTTTTATTACATCAATTAAATTTACATTAACCCTTTTATTAGCTGAATTAAATGTATATTAACCCTTTTATAACCTCAATAAAAAGTACATTAACCCTTTGTAATCACCTCTTCTTATTCGATCTGTCTCCCTGTTGAACCAGTCCGGGTGACGAGAGGTCGACCTCCATGCGTACCAATCAGGGTGCTCTCCACTCCACTTCCTCCACCCAGCCTTTAATAAAAAAAAAAAGATACATGGAAATTTTAGTTCAGCTGCTTAGCAAATTTATATTTATTAATCAAGATGATAACTAATTCATTATGTTTAATATTTGAAATTAAAAACAAAATAAAATGTGTCAGCTAAGTCTAGATAAACAACAGCTATTGTTTTAGAACTAAGCTGTATCTAATGTCATTAGTGTGATTTAATTTGCATCACTTAAATAGAAAATACTCAAAATAAAAGAAGCATTAACTATACTATAGACTATAGTCATACAGAGTAAGAAGTAATAATCGTATAATGTCCACTGTACACTATGGTCCCATATAAATAAAGCCCTTAACTGAATATCATGAAAAAGCATAGAAAAAGCATCTAAAAAGAAGATAATTATTTTAAATGAGTATCCTACATCACCGCTACAAAATAATTCTCAAAAGAAATCATAAACTAATTAAGAATAACTTGACAATGTAAGTGTTTTGATTTGTGTCTATAGTTAAAGTTAAACTGTTAGGTAAAAGGTTGGAACACACTCACTCTAGCTACATCTGGATGACTGCAGTGGTAAGTTTTCCATTCATGAAGCCTTGGCTGCCTGCAAGTTATAACAATGAGTTTTAAAAATAGTTGTATGTATAGGCCCTGCTATGAAGAAACATTAACCTAACTAATCATTGAGTAATTAAATTGATTCTTAGGCCATCAGCCATATTTATGATATTTAGTTTCTTTCCTTTAAAAAAATTATAAGGCAAACCCACAAAAACTTAGGTTAGGTTAGTTAGTAGTATAGTTATAGTAGCTAGTCAGCCAGGCTTCTTTACTATCTTCTTAATTCTTAAGGGTTAGGCCTAGATTTAGATCTAGATCTATATCTAGATGAAAAAAAAAGTTGTATTGGCCTATCCTAAAAAATAATAAATAAAAGCACTTAAATATAAACTTCATTTAACTAAACTCATGATATACTCAGATATAGGCCTAGGCCTCTACCCTAAATTTATAAATGATAGGCCTATAAAATATTACCAAGGCCTACCAAATATTTTACTGAATATTAAAAAAGGTATTTTACTGAATATTAACAAAGGTAAATAAAAAATAAACTCACCACTCTTTGGGCAATTTTGCTGGCTGCGATAGAAATCCTATTGCTGCAATATTTGTTGAACTCATTTTGTAGGCTATATTTTAATTATTTACTTTCTTTTTTCTTCTAAGCTCCAATAAGATAACAAGCTAATTTGAAGCTAAGCATTACCTACTAAGTACTAAGAGTGTAGAATCACAATATTACTAGACTATAGCTATAACTATAACTGAGATAGTGATACTGATGTTAATAATAAATTTTAGAATTCTAACTACTAACTAAACTCACACTTCACACAGAGTTAGAATTCTCGAGGTGACTGAAATAATTATTTCCTCATACTTCAGTTTGCAATAAATACAACCTCGCTTATAAAACTATAATGCATTTTTTAAAATGAACAATTTTGTTAATAAATTAATAATGTTTTATTTTTAAAACATTAATTTAGTAGAAAAAATACCAAGCGTCGCCATAGTAACGCGTCAGTGGTTACCAAGCTTAGCAGTGTGAAAATACAAAATGATTATTATATTATAAAATTACGTAAATGAAAAAAAAAGAAAATAGTAAAATAGATATTTGGTAATTATTAATTGTGTATTATGAGGTACTAAATATAGCGATATCTTACACTTTAAACAAATATTAGGACAAAATATTATTAAGCCCGTAAGCAAACAGACCCACGATTGGAATACTAGTCCATTATTTACCACCACAAAAACACTGAAAGTGTATTGACTAGGAACGAACTAACGAACACTTTTGATATTGATCTAGTCTGGACCTATTATTGCTATAATACATTAATAGAGTGATTTTTTTTCTAAATCTAGCCCCGCCTTTTTAAATACACTAACCAAGGGCTATTGTAAAATGTTTTGATTTGGCGTTTAACGGCTGATTGATTAGTTCTGAACTTAAGCTAGTCTAATAAAGTCTAGTGATCTCCTGTCTAGTCTATTGGTTTTCTTAATCAAGTGCAAGTGCAAATATGGCAGATACACTGTTCTTCAAAAGATCACAGTCCATGTACCCATACTGGGTAAATATGCCACCTACTGTTCCACGATATCCAGCTTCCCAAGATATGTTCAGGTAAGATTGATCCAGATGGTAAAAATGTTTAAAATATAATAGAGATCTTTATATATTTATATATTATATAATAACATTTTGAATTATAGACTTACATGAGCAAGCATTTAACTCTATGCTCTTGAAACTTTTTAGGGGGGGGAGGGGCAGTAAAAGTATACATTTTTCTATTCTATTTTGTTAGGGGGCACTAGACTAGATGCCTGAAAGAAACCCTCAGTTATAGACCTAGAATCAAGATCTATCTAGTACTGTGTAGCTAATACTTTATCAACTTAACAGTTAAGGCTGTGCCAAGATCTATTGATTTAGATATAATTATATTTTAATAGTTTGGATGAAAGATAAATGAGGGGGGGGGGGGTGAAATTAAAAAAAAATGCAATTGTGTTGTCCGACTATTTTCCATATTCTTCATATTTATATTGCATATATATTGCATCTGCCATTTTTATTGATAATATAATATAATGTGTACAAGATATTGACAAACTTTATTCATCAATTATTTGAAATATGATTACAACAGAACCTACTATAAATATTTGTAAACAGTCCTTTCCTCCTCTTTATGATATAATTGTATATAGGCGAGAAGAGCCAGACAAATACACCCAAAGGAAAGGCACAGCTGGTTATCAAGTAAGGCTTTATTGTCAGTTTTCAATATTTAAAAAAAAACAGTTCTTCTAGTTCTATTATATTGGGGATTAAAATAGACATCCACAATTTTTATCGATGGATGAGAGGTGTATTTGTAAAGCATTTATCTCAACAGATGTAGGAAATTTCAGCAATACCCTCCTTATTTATGTACTTTGAATAGAGCATCACTTTTATAAATTTCTTAAACAAACCCCAACTTCTGCCACGCTACTAGCCATACACACAACAGTAAAATAGTTTTAACATAATTTAAATGTTTGATACACCATATGTTAAAAAAAAAAGTATGCATTGAGATTCTTATTTTAGGAGTTTTCAAAACTTTTTTTTTAAAACGAAGAACTGGACTGACAAGTGGTATGATTGGGGTCATCCAGTCAGAAGACTTGAAGAGTTGCCAAAAATTATTGACCGCCATGAGCCAGTGTCCAGGCCATGGGATTATGGAGTTCATATGGGCATTTCTGGACAGTCCAAGTGGACAAAAGAAGGAAAGGATTGGCCTGTTGATAACAAGAAATATCTCAAGTAATGTAACTTTACATCTTGTCACTAATTGTTTAGTTTCCATAGCGACCCTTCCCGGCGCCCGGGGACAAACTTTTCAATTTGCACCCCACCCCCTCAAGATTTCAATTTGCACCCCCCCTCAAACTTTTGATTTGCACCCCCCTCAACCTTTCAATTTATTTTTCCAACCCATTTTGGCGCCCCCTCAGGTCGGCGCCTGGGGACATATGTCCCCCCCCTCGCTACGCTACTGAGTACATGCATAAAAAACTAAAAGTTTGGTATGGCGAAACCTGTTCACGTTGTATGGCCCCGGAGAATATAGAGCACGTCCTTCAGGACTGTTCCTTATATAGCCAGGCGCGATCCAAACACTGGCCCCTATACACCCCACTCAAGGAAAAACTATATGGGGCACCCGCTGATCTGGAGACCACAGTCCAGTTCATACACGAAGTTGGACTTGTTTAAATCCTCCACCATAAACTAAATTAAGAACGCGGAAGAAGAAGAAGTTTAGTTTCCTATTATAGATATTTGTTTATCATATTTTATTTTCACTTCCAACTTATTTTGACCAAATAGAGAACACATATGAACTATTTTCTCTGTTAGTTAAAGCATTGTATTAACACTAGTCTGTAGTGTTGATGAATATTTAAGCACCTGGTGTTAACTCTGGAATTTTTCATTTATTTTCTTTCATTAATGTATGTTATGTATTGAAGATCAAGTGTCACCCAGCACCCCCTGACTTTATCACAATATTTCAGTAAATCATTCATGTTAGTGACTTGTTGTACCATCCTAATGTTTTTACTTAAGCTCATCATCAAGTCAGTCCTCTAGATTGTTTTACAGAGAGAGTTGTTTCCCTTAAAAAAATGACATTTTTAGTTTTGTTCCAGATAAATAAAGAGCTGATTTTATCCAGAGGCATAGCGACCCTTTCCGCGCCAGAGACGATCTATGAATTTTGTGCCCTCTCCCATTTATATTATATTTATTGGTTTCATATACCAAAAGCTGAACCCTTTAATAAAAATAATGCAACCATGTTCTTAAAATAAGTTAAAATTCCTTTCTCCTCTCTTGCAGAAATGGAGTGCCCAACACAGAAAACCATCGGGCAAGGGCTATCAGAGAGTTGAGCTTTAAGGATGAAAAACTCTACCCATTCTCAAACTACATGACATCAACTTATCGGAAGCCAGTGTACTCTGTTTGTGGTCCTATGCAAAAAGATCCGGTATTTGGACTGACCAGGCAAAGGAATCGTCATGGATTCATGCCATTTGAAGATTATTATTAACCTGTGTGAGTGAATTTGTTTGATATAATAGTGATGTAAAAATGAAATCCATACCCATCATATAAAAAAAAATAACACAAGTTTGTAAGTTTAATAATGATTTATATAATAAATAAAAAACAACCTGTGATGTAAATAGTATATATTATTTATTTACTTTTGTAAATACATTTTCATTTACTTATTCATATGTGAGGAGATTTTAACTTCTTAAAGGTAGTTCAAATTAGTCAAAGATTTAATTTGATTTTGGTCATAGGTTACAACCTACCTTTACGGGAAAGTCACAATAAGAACTGACTACTCAAAAGAACTTGTTACAATTATTGCTAGTTTATAATTTGAAAATAATTTTATAACAAAGAGGTTTTACACTTTGTTGTTTAACCTATTAAAGGGACAGTAACAAAACAAGCCCCATAAAGGATTATAAAATTTATTAGAAATTTATTTGCTGCACAAACTATTTCGCATGCTACTAATATGTCTTAACAGTATTAAAATATTGTCTTAATTTCTCTGTCTGTTGTTTGTGTTAAAAGTAATGCATGCTGAAACTTCAAATGAAATTTGATGTACTTCATTATCAGTAAATTCCTATAGGCCTACATTTTGTATAAGAATTTTTTCAATTGTTATTACCAAGTTAAATTTAAAAACAAAAAAAAACAAAAGCACAAAGATTTGTTTAAGTACAGTATATTTCCATCTTTTATTTAGACTAGATGTTTCTATTTTATTGATATTTTTTTCCCAAAAGAACATGATAATTAAATCACATGCAAATTTTGTATGAATTAACAGAAGTATAATAGACAATCATGCAAAACAATCATGCAAAACAATCATGCGAGTAACACAGAAGTGCATGCTTACATCAAAGTTATTTTAAGATGAGGTACTATACAAGAGCTGATGCAATCAATCACGCCTGGGCACTCACCCCAAATAAGTCATCCAAAATGTTTTTAAAAATTTTTACAATAAAAAGTAATGAAACTCATCCTACTTGAAACTATTGTATATCTTAATTAGCAATCTATTATTTTTTATCATGAATGACAAAAAATATTTCAGTATATAATGAGTTAACACTCAGTATGTTTTTTTTAAAATTATATATTACCTATAATTAATTCTTTTTCTCCAGAATATGGAGAAGTAGTTGAAAGATAAAGTAAATAAGCTACAAAATTTACAATTTTAAATACATTTAATTACAGTAGACTATGTAAATTAATTTAACAAAGTAAAATAATATGCTTTAAAATTAGGATAGTTAAAAACAGGAGGGAAGCTTGTAAACCAGTTGGCCTGTTATATGTGGTAGGATATAACAGGAAGATATGGTGGAAATAACAAAAAGATATGCTGGTATGAGAATTTAAAAAAAATGTATATCAGGTTCATCATTGCCGTCCAATGAAAATGTAATCACAAATTATAAAGATGAGCCTTGTGATAAATGTAATGGTAAATGTGGTAATTATAATACAACAACATGCAACAAAACACCAAGAAAATGATTACATGGGTGACATAGGAAATTTAAAGTGTGAAGACAGTTTGGCATGCTGAAAAATTCAGTTTTTTTTTACAATGAGATGGGGGATATATGTACATGACTATAAGAAGTTACATTTAGAAATGGTAAAAGTTGAGGGACTCCTCAATTATGGACAATTTTTGTTAATTATTTTCACAACACAGTCGCTGGCTCTATTTTTAAGAATATTTTACTAAGTCAGAGCAATAATCATCTAAAAACAATTTTTAAAATTTACTCATTTATTTTATGTTCAACTTATCTAGTACCTTTCAAAAGAAGGTACAGTAAATTTTTCAATATAACGCGTCCATCTAGAAATTAAGTTAAATTTTGTTTATTAAATAAACAAAGATTTAATGAAAGAAAATATTTCATCTACTTTCTTTTTAAAAATATGGACAACTTTTAAGCATTCTTTACATATCTGAAACAATGGCTGTGAATAACACTGATGGATGAGAAAAATGTGGTGCTAAACAGTGTTATGTGGTGCTAAAAAGGCACAAAGCAAATCCAGCATGTCTTGTGCTCATGTTGCCTATCTTGACAAAAATATACAAAAGCTTAAGCTTAATCTAAAGAACTGCTCATTAACTTTGTAACAAGCTTAAGCTTAATCTAAAGAGCTGCTCATTAACTTGGTAACAAGCCAAAAATATTTAATAAACTTCATAGAAAAAAATTCATATTAAATCATGAATTCGTTAATTTAAATTTGTATAGTGCATTATGAAAACATTTTTTTTCACATAAACACATATAGTACACATTTATATTTTAACAATCACCAAGACGTATGTTGCACTGAACTCCCAATACAATAAAACTATGAAATAAAGCTTTTAGAAATCAAACAGTGTTAGTGCTGAGTTCTGCTCACTGACAATCCACTCCAAACATTCTACAAAATCTTTCAGAAATATCTTCATGGCACAGAAGATGGATTTCTTTAACACAGGGCCTTTTTAGTCCCATCTTTTGTTTACTACCTGATAAGAAGCACTTAAGTCCCATTTTTTCTTCTAGTATCTAAAATTAATTTCTTAACACATTTTGTGGAATAGTAGGCCTATTATTCCAGAGCATACTCAGATAAGCAGCTAAAGGAGTATCTCTATATTTATGCTTGAAAAAAAAATGACTGAACTTTGATGCAATTTTAATCTACAACTTAACAGGAACTAAAGCTACCCTATGTGAAATAGTGTCAAGTAAAATAGTGCTAAAATATGACAAGGCTAGGGAGATTGTAATATGCTTGTGATAAATTATCCACCCCAATCATTGTGTCTTATCGCCATTCTTGTAAGTTTTAAATATATTTTTCCTAAGTAATACATGATTTGATATTAAAAGGAGCAAATTTGGAACAACACTTAAAGAAGTATAAGAGGGACCTACTGAATGATATAGGTATTTTAATCTTGTAAGAAAACTATGTAAGCCTAGCTCACACAAGAATTTCTTTGTGGCTTAGATGACTTTTTTTTAATCGAAATTTTCACAGGGCTTTGTGAATAATCAAGACGAACTTGAAGCATAGTTACAAGGAAATATTTTTCTCACTTTGATTGTATGACAGGGTAATTAGGGTGAGAGTGGACGGGGTGGGGCTAGGGTTAGTTTTAGAAAACTTCTAAGATGTTCAAATATAAATAATTAACTGATGACTGTGAACCAAATGGAGACTCAATGCCCAGCGCCTATATTAGCAGACCAACTTAATATAAGCACAGAAGAATGTATGGAGATATTGAACTAAAACCACAAGTTCAATCCTTACAAAGGTGGTACCAAAAAGAAAAACTAGACTAAATTTCTTCGTATTTTCAGGCAGATATCCAATACAAATTTCCAACACTGTAACTGCTTCCTTTTTCATCTTTTACTAAATCCAAAGGTTTAGATGAGATGCTGATGTGAGCAGCAAAGTATTATTAGATTAAATAGCATTCTCAGTCTCTTTCATGTACAATATTTTCCCCAAGTTCAATCCTTATTAACATTCAACGTAAAACGTAATCCATCTTTTTCTCTCCTGATCACTGAAACACTACAAGCTTTAGGTCCGTCTATGTACACCTCCCTCACTGAAACAAAGTCACAAGTCTCTTGGCTGCCTTGGCGATGTCGTAAGCGTATTGTATGACTTGCTGGGTCTTGAGACGGAAGTCCGGGTTCGGGTCCTGCTCTGGTGATGGTGGCCAGTTCATGCACTCATCCCAGAGTCGCCTGGCACTCTGGACTAGCACTTGTCTGGCTTCCTGAAGTCTTTGGGATCCTGTCTCCTGTGGAGCAACACACCAGTTTTTATATAAATACAAATTTTATCTACATATTGTTGCCTTTTGAAAAAATATACATAAAAAAAATAACAGGCAGAAAATGTAAAAAAAGCCATGTTACTATAATAAAACTACTTGAACTCTAATCTACTGGTAATAAAAACACTAATTGAAAACAAATACACTGAAAGAAAAATTTCTCTATAAATATTCAACTATTAATAAAGGTTTTAAAATATAAAAAAATCAGTTGCAACATCAGATGCGGCGTGTGTATGATGGATGATAATGCCACAAATTCTACAAACAAATCTACAAATTAAAAATCTTTTGGTTTTATCTCTAGATAATATTTAATTCTTTATAAAACAATTTAAAAAATAGTCAAATATCATTATGTGGAAAATCTTTTAAAAATGTATCAATTTAAAATCTGGGCTAGGATAAGATTATTATGAAGACAATGGTGAATTAGAGACAACAATGAGATGATAATGAGACAAGAAGCTGTTATACAAGCCACGGAGGCACATGCTTACGGCTGGGAACAGGGAGGCCATTTCCGAGACGGCAGAGTAAATCCTCTCCGAGCACGACTCAAAACTGAAAAGAGTTGGAAAAAGCCACGGAAAGAAAACATAAGCAAAACAGTGAGATGACATGGCTGCACAAAAAAAATAAAAATAATAAAACAACGAATAATTATATTCTAATACTGTACTGAAAATTTGACAACAACTAAAACCAGAAGCACATCACACTATCAGACAAGGAATCAAACACTGATCACACATGATTAAATTAAAGGCACAAACTTAACTTAGATTGAATTATGTATTAACAGTTTAAGAGTAGGTAACACAATTTTTTTTTTAGAAGGTCGCAACATTTTTAATTTTAAAAAAAAAAGGCCATTTTAATAATTACTTCTGCTTAACTAATATTAGCTATATTTTAGTTCGAATACAATAAACTGTGGAAAAGAAATAATTAATGTATTTGTCAATTATTCCGATAGATTGTTTGGGAGATTTCTTGTACATAATAATGAAAAAAAAACAACAACTGAATCAATTATTTTTACAAGCCACAAAATCACAAGGGATTTCAGAGTGGGCATACAAATGGCTGACCAGCGTTCTTGCAATGATGTAAACATCTATAGCAGTAGCTAGCCTTCACAAAGTAACAGAACTAAACATCACTTCGTTTTTTAGGTTATGTTTCACAGGTAGGTTTTCAACTTAAATGAATTATCTTTCTTTAACCATTTGTTTTTACAATTTTACAGATTATATCATCAAATACTGCAACTTTCAAAGCAGGGTTTTATTAGTGTTGATATCTCACATAAAAAAAAGAGAATTCTTAAACAATATAAATTATCATTAAATTAATGTAGAGAAAAGAAAAAATTTGAATAGGCAAGAGACAAAAAAATATAATTTAAATAACTGTGGCTGTTGTTTTATCTCTATGATAACTAATATAATATACTAGAGAAAAACATCTGGGTAAAGATTATACCAAGTCATAGAAACCATCATTCAGCTGTAACTGATCATCTACAAGACAACACTGTCTATCTGTATATACTAAAGATTTCAGCACTAAATGTAAATTTTAATAATTAAAACTTAACAAAGAACAATTGGGCAACATTTATTATTTCTTTTTCTTAAAAAATTTAAGTGATCACAAAAAATTGTCGATAACTAAACATCAATGGCAACACACAGACAATAGATAAACACAAGTGCCAATGTAAGCCTATCAAGCTGACACTGCACATCTTCATGCAAACATTAAACTGTTTTAATTTTAAGACACAACCCCGCACCCTACTAAATATTTCTTACGATTTGTAGTAATACTTATAATATTAAAGTTGAATAGTATTTAATAAATATTTAATAACAACTTTGCCTGGTAACTAGTTTGATAGTTACAAGGTAGACATTTCAAGCAGTTACTATTTTTTATGTTTTTTCCCCCTATAAAAAAACGTAAAATAATAAACAGCAGACTGTACAAGAACAGCTAGACTAAAGCTAACAATAAAACAGGCCAGATAAATTGTGTGTACCTTCTGTGTTGGCCCTCTTGAGCAGAGACCAGCAGCTCTTGGATCTTCTTCGTCACTTTATCTGTTTTCCTCACCACCTGTCAGACAGAAGGGTCTCAGTGTGTGACACTTTTTTTTACAGCAATGTTTTAACCAGGAAAAAAGTAAATGATTCATGGGATGTATGAACTAGAATAAGCCGGAACAAGATTGAAGAACAAAAAATTTAAAGCTATTTCTCCTTAAGATAACAAAAATGCTACTGATAAAAGCATTAAGTAAAACATTACATGAAGTCACAATTACCTTAATCCTGATAACTTAAAAAATAATTTTCATGGTAAAATTGTTTATATTTTAGGATCCATGAACTAAAATTTTGTGAATAACATATCAGAAATGTGATTTATAATGGGATTTGTTTTTATATATATATATATATATATATATATATATATATATATATATATATATATATATATATATATATATATATATATATATATATATAACAAATAACCCCAGCAAATGAAGGAAGTAAACACAACAAAATTGCAGCAGGTACCTCTTCTTGTGTGGGCATGTTTGGGTCATCCCCCACAGCAGCCAGGGATGAGTTAGAACCTTGACCTTCACTCTCTGAAGATTCTCGGATTGAGGATAACACATCCTGTACCTGCCCATCACTAGCACCACTGGAATAGGTAAACATTGCATATAACAGTCGAGTCGGCAAAAAGTTCATGGTTGATAAATTCGAACTAAGTCTCGAGTTCAAACCCACTGGCAGATAAATCTTAACGAAGAAGAAGAAGCATATAACAGTTTATGTTAACTAAAGAATGGAATACTTCAAACATTATAAATGACCGATAATATTAACAAAACTGTAAAAGCATCACTGGAATAGGCAAACATTACACATGACAGGTTATGTAAGAGCTTTTTCTGAAAAATTAACAAGATTTAAATGTGTTTAAAATGCTAAAATCAAAAAAATAATTTTATAAGTTATTATTTAAAAGCTTCAAAGCAGCCATTCATTTTTTTAATACACATCTAAAGACTAATATATGATCTTAAAAAATGTATGGATTCATCCTAATACTTTAAAATAATCAGCTGCCAATAAACCTGAACCTCTATTTAAACAACAAATATTGCACAGTATCATAAGTGTAACCATAAATAATATAAAGTTCCCGTTCAGACCTGGCAGCCAATAGAGCAAAGTGAAGTAGAGTTCACCTGTTTGTGACCTATGCATATAAAACGATAGTGTTGTCAGTACTAGTTAAATGGGATGTGCTGCAACTTTAGCCAGGGACCTGAACTCAAGATAAACGCTCGACTGTTTAAACAACATTGTCCTATTATAAACACTGACAGTAGGCCACAGAAGCACTACCAAATTTTGTCACAGTGTAATGCTAGTTAAACTCCACAGCAACAATTAAAACAATCTTAAGAACTTTGTCACAATGTGCTGCTAGTTAAACTCCACAGCAACAATTAAAACAATCTTAAGAACTTTGTCACAATGTGCTGCTAGTTAAACTCCACAGCAACAATTAAAACAATCTTAAGAACTTTGTCACAATGTGCTGCTAGTTAAACTCCACAGCAACAATTAAAACAATCTTAAGAACTTTGTCACAATGTGCTGCTAGTTAAACTCCACAGCAACAATTAAAACAATCTTTAGAACACCAAGCCGAACCTGTCAGTGGATAGATGGGACCTAGGTACATCGTAGTGACCTTCACTCGTCTCTGCATGATCGTCCACTGTGAAACTTCCAGCAACAGTCAAACCTTTACTCTGTGAAATCAATTTAAAAACAATCTTGAAAACAGGCTTATTGTCACTGGTTGAGTTAATTAGAGAAACAACTATAAACAAACATGCAAATAGATAAAATATTTATTAAAAAAATTCAAATTCAGATATAATTACTTGATCAAAATTGTTGATTTTTAAAGTGCTCTCATCAATTATTTATATTTAAAAAATTTTTATTATATGACATGGTAATGCCATAACTTTGGATTAAGCATTGTGTAAATAATAAAAGATAAACCCTCACCTGTCCAGACCCAGCCATGGCTATATTTGTTACTGAAGTGGATGACATTAAGTGAGAATTACTTCCCATGTTCTAGAAAAAAAAACACAAATTAGTTAATTTGACTATAAATTCAAATGCTTATAATTATTACAAAACTACTTATAAATTTAAATGCTTACAATTATTACTACACTTCTTATAAATTCGGGGACGGAGTGGTCAAGCGGTAGAGAGCTGGACTGCTGACCCGTGAGTCTCGAGTTTGAATCCAGGTTCAAGTCAGTAGACCGTCCCTGAGTCCACCCAACTCTGATGGGTACATAACTCACGTTAGGGAAAGTAAAGGCGGCTAGGCATAGCGCTTACCACGCTACCTCTTCATATGCCAAGGTCACAGAAACAAGTGAACTCTACTTCATTTGCCCTATAGACCATCAGGTTTGAAAAGGGAACTTTACTTACTTACTTTAATTCAAATGCTTATAAATATTACTACATTGCTGTTGACCTAAAAAAGGATGCTAAATTAAAATTTTTAATAAAGTAAATATATATTTTAATTTGAATCCCGTTGACTAGATGGTACTGTCCACCAGACACACCACTTACCCCATGCCTACTCTGGTCCCTCATCTCTATCATGGACGTGGGCCTGACAACACCGCCACTTGACCGCGTAGACCTCCTGGCCTCGTCCACATCAAACGTGTCCCCATTGTTGTTGTTACAGTGGTTCATGTCCGGCTGGTCACCTGTGTCTATGCCATTGACCACGTGAGAGAAATCCTGGCTCCTGACACGCAGATTTGCATTCTCTCTCATCAGTGTGTCCACCTGGGAGAGTTGTAAACATTGTTTATTAAATATTTAATAACATTTGTAAAGTACAAAATAACATTAATATGATTAAGGGAAGGTGCGGATGAATGGTAGAGAGTTTGACTGCTAACATGCAAGTCTGAAGTTCAGATCACACGCTCGTTACGGAAAGTACAGGCGGCTGGGCACAGTGTTAACTACACTACCAATTCATTGATGTGATGAGGTCACTGAAACAGGTGAACTCTACTTCACCTGCCAAATGGACTGTAAGGTTGGAAAAGGTACTTGACTTATTTATAATTAAAGGCATACATAGGCTCAGTTGGATAGATGCTGTGGAGACAGACCTACAGCTGACAAGTCAGAATGGAAAAAGATGGTGAAGCAGGTTTATGCATTGTTCTTGTAAATATACTCTTCAGAGAGTAAGAATATACAAAGGAAGATGTGAAGTAAGTCACTGTCCTAATTTTGATACTGCTAGAAAAGAAAAGAAAGTTATAATTTTTTCTCCATCTGGGGTTAAACTCTGCATTTGTCATAGCGCATTAAGTGAACTCTACTCCACCTGCACTCTACTGCAAGAAAGGAAAACTGAAAATGTAAAATAATATTTGGCAAAAAAAAAAAATAGACTTGCCTTTTTCTCTAAATCTTTCTTGACCTGCTCCAGATGTTTTATTGTGGCCTCCGAGGCAGCCAGCGCCTTCCTGACCTCCAGGAATTCTTCTGAGGACACGGGCGCTTCTGTTTGTTGCTCAGACATGCTCTGTTTCAGAGACAGAATTAAAAGTTTATCACACTGCAAGTTTTAATTTGGCTTTTGAACTAAGACCAAAAGCTATGGGCAAGTTAATTAACATGGATTACACTCAAGGTAACTTAAAAAGGGAAAAAAAAAGTTTACAGGGGAGAAATCAGAGTTGTGTCTCTGTCTTATTAGTATCAGTACCTAAATGACTTGGATTTTCTAGCCATTTTTGCTTGCAGATATTGACCATGCAAAGTGCTATACCATACTAACAGTAACACTGTATAAGTCAGGCTAAATACTTAGCAAATTACGTAAATTAATTTTCATGAAAACAACAAAACAAAACAGAATAAAAAGTTAATTCATGCTCATAAAATCATTAAGGATACTAAAGAAACTCCTATTAGAGGAGCTTTATTAACACTAGAAATTCACTTATCACTTTCATAATGTTTAAAAATAAATTGTAATATCTCATCATAAGAATATTCAATTACATTTTCTTTCATTGAATCTACATTACTGAACCATGCTATTATTGATAAAGTTGCTAAATTACTTAGACATCAGGTGTAAACAAAAAACTCCTATTAAAAACTGAAATTTTAGTACAGTTCCAAAATATTGTAGCATACACAGATATTTAAAAGAAAATGGCAGATCACAAAATGTACACTCAAACCAATGACATCAAACTGAAGCACTCACTGAAAAAATGTTATGTCTATATCACATTCAATAGAGCATTAATTGGGAACCTGGTTACCAGCCAAGTTTTTTTTTTATCCTACACGAATACTTTTTTAACCTTGACAGAAACACATTTTTCTGGCCACATTTTAGTAGTACAACTAAAAATTTTTTATTTTTGATGCTTTTAAGCTTAAAGCTAAATCTATGAATAAATTAATGGCGATTAATTCAACACAATTAGTGTACTCATTTTTGTTAGATAATCAACAGTTTTTTGGTACTTATTAAACTAAATATAAGTATTTAAGGCAGTTAAGATTAAGAACTAGAACACTTATTTAGGTACAACCTATTTTTATCCCTTTTTACATTTTGCTTTTAATTTTCTAAAAATACTTCTAAATAGTAACTTTAATTTTATGTAAAAAGGTAACAACCTGAAAACTATGTTATTTTGTCCACTTCTTTGTAAATAATAATCAAGATTTTAATTGAAAAAAACCCATGTTTGTAAGTTAGTAGCCACCAATACTTGGCACAAAAAAACAAAAACAAAAAAAAACCACTGGGAGAATCCTTCACTCTCAGGCAACAGCTCACCTCTGTGAAGGATATCATTGAGGTGGGTGAGTTAGAGCGCTTCCCTTTCAGAAGGCCCTGCTTTGGATAAATGGGTGAGCACTATTTAAGTGGGGCCCAACAAATTTGAAAAGGAAGAGAAACATTTAAAGCAACTGGTAGTAAAATAAATATCTAACTGAAAGGATTGCTTTGGGAAGATATTTTGTTTAAATTAAATAGGATGTTTTAGGATGATTTTTGTTTTGTTTAACTGGAATGTTTTGGAAAATTTTTTTTTTTTAAATTAACAATGAACTGGGAAGTTATAGGAAGAAATTTTCTTTTAACTGGCAAGAATTTAAAAAAAAAATTAACTGGAATGTTTTCGAAGAAATTAAAAAAAAATTAACAATTAACTGGAAAGTTATAGGAAGAAGTTTTCTTTAAATTAACTGGGATCCTTTGGGAAGAATTTTTTCTAATTAACTGGGATGTTTGTTTTAATTGTCAGATGTTAGGAGAAATGGTTTTCGCTATATATTAACTTAAAGAACCCTGGTTGTGAATTGAAAAACAAAGCTGGCGAAAATAAAAATAAAAGATTTACTTTTAGAGTCATTTCAGTTGTGCATAATTATATGTAAAGGATGTTTGTTTGATAGTTATTATTTGATTGAAAATCTGAGACAAGTAAAGCAAAGGTGTAAAAAATTAAATACAAAATTTGACGGAATTAATAGAACATGATTGAATAAAATCCTTGCTCTGATCTAAGGCTGGTTTAGCTAAAATATTCATTTTTTTAACATGTTTTTGTGTTGTTATACTTCATCCTTATTTTAATAAAATAAAAACCAATTTAAAAAACCTGACATCTTTCTATTCTGTCTATTAAAAAGAAGTACATAAATAATGCAATAAAGACAATGATAAATAATACAAATAATTTGAGTGAATATATTTTAGAAGTCAGAAAACGTGAATTATATTAAAGACGAGAAGAAGTAAAATATATGACTTGTATGTTTTGTACACATATCACAGTGAAAAAAACAACTTGTACGTTACCTCAGCTGTGATGTCTGGCCTCATCTCCTGCCTCACACTCTGAATACTTTGGGTGTCAATGCTGCTGTAGTCCTCGTCAGAGGCCACACTATCATACAGGGGCTCATCGTCACTAATTGCACTCATTCGCTGAGAGTTGCGGCACATTTTATCTGTTTGATACAAATCAGAAAGATCAGTTTACACAAATCAGAAAGATCAGTTTACACAAATCAGGCATGTTAGTCAAACTTAAGACAAAGTTTATGTAAAACACATACTTAACTGAGTATAATAAGGAGTTATATATCACCCAGATTTTTTTAAAGCTGGTATCCTAGTTATTAAACTTTTCATTCTTTGCTAGCCAAAATTAACATATTAGATCTGTTTTCTTAAGCTCTAGCTACTGATGGATGTTTTAACACAGATGGCTTCAGTTGAAAACACCCATTGTCCATGTTTCATGTCTTATTGCCATAGCTGAAGTCTACCACACAAATCCTATACTCAGCTACAGTCGTATAAGCGAACTGTAAAGTCAGGTGTTTAGTACACCTCAAACCATTACATTTTTAATCATGTTAATATTAATCTTTTTTTTATGGCAGTCAAGAAGAGAATACCTGGATCTCGCAAGGTTGGAATTGGTGATGTCATCCCAGTCTGTCTCCGCCTGGCATCGTATAAAATATCAACAACCAGAGTTGCAAATTCCCTGGCATTAAACCGAGCCAACTTCTGCCGACCCTGCAGTAAAGATTAAGTGTAAATCGACATGGTAGCTTTCAACAAAAAATGTAGCTTTCAACAAAAAACAATTAATAAATGGATTTGTGAAAATTAATAATAAGGCCTATTCAATAAGAGCTTTTAAAAAAATAAAACTATTTTTTTACTACACAAGAAGCGATTAAGATATTATCCCAATACATCATGTATAGCTATTGTGGCCTAAGTGAGAAAATTTAGGTCTAAGTGTCTTGCTGCTAGTTTTACTAATACTTTTCTAGGTGAAATTTTCTCTTGCAGGTAGAAACTATTGATAAGCCCAATATTTATATAGAATTAAACAACATGTTCACAAAGATAAATGGGTTTACTGTGTGCAAAAGAAAAAGTTACATGACTCAGTGTGGTGGAGAGTTCAGGATTGACTGGGAGATTATCTGACTGCATATGGTAGAGAGCTCTGGATTAACTGGGAGATTACCTGACTGCATACGGGGCTCTAGACAACTAGGAGATTACCTGACTACATATGGGGCTCTAGATTAACAAGGAGATTACCTGACCCCATATGGTGAAGAGTTCTGGATTAACTAGGAGATTAACTGACCTCATATGGGGTTCTAGATTAACTGGGAGATTACCTGACTACATATGGCTCTAGATTAACAAGGAGATTACCTGACTCCATATGGTGAAGAGTTCTGGATTAACTAGGAGATTAACTGACCTCATATAGGGCTCTAGATTAACTGGGAGATTACCTGACTACATATGGCTCTAGATTAACAAGGAGATTACCTGACTCCATATGGTGAAGAGCTCTAGATTAACTGGGAGATTACCTGACTGCATATGGGGATCTAGATAAACAAGGAGATTACCTGATTGCGGGTGGTGGAGAGTTCTGGATTAACTGGGAGATGTGGGACTGTGAGTCTTTCACTCAATACTGATGTGTGGTCATGTGTTGATAGCCAAACTGTAGGAAACAAAGTTTTAAGAGCTCATGTTCAAAAATTTAAAACCTTACATCACAATGTAAAGAAAACTTTTTAATAAACAAAAGGCTCAGAGTTCACTTTTACAATAAAAATTGTACATTCACAATAATAAAAAACAAATGTTTAAAATCAAACTATAAATAAACATATTAGGACTGGTCTTACTTGAATCATTTTCCCTTCTGTCTACTTCATCATAGACATCCATGGCTAACTCTTCAAACAAATGGTTGGGAAGCTGATTGAAAAAATTAGGTACTCAAAAAAATTGTTCCTTATATAAATATTGTGTTTGTCATGTGGGACTGCTAGGAAAATTGCAGGTGACTGACTAAAGTGGAGGGAGCTTTTTGTGTCTTGAGCACAAAAGGAAAAGATGATGAGATGATTTTAAGTTTGAGGCTTTCCTTTTACTGATTTTATTTCTATTTATTTTTATTTTATTTCTATTCTCAGCTTGAAAAATAATTGACAATTAAAAATATCTAAATATCAAAAGAAAATTATGAAAATAAAAATTGTGTGCTGTAAATTAGTAATTTAAAAAAAAGTCATAACTTAGTAAGTTACTTTTGGCATGCTAACTATAGATTTATTTATACTAAATTAATTTTCAAAAATTAAAAAATCAACTAGCACCATAATCATTTAGAACACAAAAAGAACTTACAGCTTGTAGTTTTTTCTTGGCTTGTTTAGCTAGTTCAGACAGATCTGCATTACTGGTTTTTAAAAAAAATTAAAGATTAATTATTAAATATTATAGGTAATCCATTAAATATCTAAGAATTAAGGTAATTGTAAAATTAAAATTAATATATTTTCTACTTCATGCTGCTCATAAAACTAATATTTTTCTGGATGTCTGAGATAACTTTGGTTATTGCTATGAACTATACAGTATGACTGGCTATTGATTTCATCAAAATTATATTATTTTCATGGGAACTTACTTGTCTCCCAATTCTGGGATCTTGAAATGAACACCAAGTCGATGATCTGTACAAATAATACATTCAAATTACAGATAAATCAGAAGGGGTGGAAGAAAATTATCATAGTTTAAAAATGAGAGAAACCATAGATGTTTTAATTTATAAGCTTTAAGCTAAAAAAAAAAAAAACCAATTAAAAAGTTTTCTTAGCTTCAATAAATGCAATTAACTTTATATAAATTAATTATCTAGCCTTGCTGGAATGAGCAAAAAAAAAAAACTTAAAATTTTAAACTTCATCCATTGAACACAGAGGATAACATTCTTAATTAAAAGAGACTGCATTAAGTTTCAGAACTAGAAAAATCTTATTGTTTTCTGATAGCAAAATATTATACAACTAAAGAGCTATTCTAATCTAGATGTATTTTATAGGCACTAATTTAAAAGTTCAAAGGGCAATCAACATTAAGTTTCTGGACTAGAAAAATCTTATTGTTTTCTGATAACGAAATATTATAGCACTAATAAGCTAGTCTAATCTAGATGCATTTTATAGGCACTAATTTAAAAGTTCAAAAGGCAATTTAGAAAGAATAATACAAATTTCAGACCTGGTTTTCTTCCACATATGTAATATGTAAGTCTGTCTGTTAGTTCATATTGCAGCTCAACCAATCTGTCAGCTAAATCTGTGTAACCTTCACTTCTGTTAAGTAAACATTGTGTCTTAACCCCTTAATGCCTGAATTATGTTCCAAGCGCGTAAAAAATTATTTGTGTTGATTTTCTCTCATCATACTGACACTGAATTTTAGGTATATAGTTGTTTTTGAATTAGGACTTATTTTTGATGATAATTACGGTATGTCGCGAAAACGCGACATCAGGCACTTACGGACCAAACAGTAATTTAATATTTTTTTAGTCCGGGTCATTTTACTATTTTTACTGTCACATGTTTCTCTAAATATCCATGCACAAACAATAAAATATCACAAACTGAACATACGGACATGCAAGGAGATGTAGAATCACTTGCAAAACTCATGAAAACTATACTTTATTAGCTCAGGCATAGAGTTACATAACTCTGCTGCACCTGCACACTGACTAACTCTTATGAATAGGTATTTTGATGTCTTGCTGTCGTAATTCTACTACACTAAAGTAACACACTACATTTGAAAGGACTTCCTTCAATGTGTAGAGCCTTAGTTGTCCCCGATTACGTAATTTTCGTGAACTCTTATTCAAGGTCAACTAATAAAGACGCATATTTCTCCTTTGACCTATATTTGCTATACACACAAAAGCACGTGAACAAATACTGTCCTAAATGACAGTGTTCAGCCATTGTATATTCTTCCATGCTCAATGTAGCTGCTGTGGGTACCTAGTGTCACTAATGTGGGTACTCAGTGCCACCGGTGTGGGTACTCACTGCTATTGTTGATGGTACCATATGTTTCCGATTCGTGCTACGGCTATTGTTCTCGACTGATTCTGATATTGATTACCAATGACAGTGCTGTAGCTACATATTGCCACTGGTATGGGTACTCAGTGCTGAAACAGTGGTACTGAGTGTTGAAGCCACGTGTACTGAGTTCTGAAGCTGTGGGTACTCACTCTTGAAGCTGTGGGTACTCAGTGTTACTGCAGTCGGTTCTTGGTGTAACTGCTGTGGGTACTCAGCACTGGAGCTGGTGGTAATCGATAATGTTGATGTGGGTACTCAGCCTTAGCAGTGGGTACTCAGTAGCACTGCTGTGAGTGCATAGTGCTCAAACTGTGGTTGCTCAGTGTCACTGATGTTGGTACTCAGTGCTGAAGACGTGGGTACTCAATAACACTGCTGTCGGTACTAAATACCAGTATAATGCCACTAATGTGGGTATTCAATAGCACTGCAAAGGGTATGTGTGTCAGCACTCAACCTTATTGCATTTATTACGAGGTGTAGGTCTATGCTCAGTGTTATTATTGTCAAGGTCACTGTCAAGACCTTTATTTGGTGGTATCCAGGATAGTGGTCCACCACCTCACTTCCTGTTGTCTATTATGTTTTTTATGTTCTCCTAATATTTTACAATACTATTTCAAAGCTAAATTTGTTATATTGTACCCAGCAACATGATCACATTATTCAAGCATCGCTCTCTCTCCATATGCCAATGTCAATGAAATAGGTGAACTCTACTTCACCTACCACATGGACCGTAATGTTCTAAAGTCCACTTTTATATATAGGCGAAGACTATATTGTAAAGCCTTTACTTATTTATAATCATACTTGACTGAATGACAGCTTGGCGATGCATCGTATTTCGTTATACCTGCTTGGCACCCAAGTTCCATTTGATGTCTTATTGCCGGATGTCGCGAAAACGCGACAAACCGTAATTAGCAGATAACTTCCAAAATAATTCTCATATGTGATTTATATTGTTTATATACATAAAAGAATGAATAATAAAGCTATTAGTATTTTTTGTAGCAAAAATGGATCACCTATTTAGTAATAATAATCAATGTAAGTAGGCTGAATTCACGGAGTCAAAAAAATTACGATGCGCGTGAGTCAAGAGAGTGTGACGTCATAAATTTCGACTTGACAAAGTGACCCCTGATACCGATACAACCGTCTGGATGTACCCAATACACAAAGACCGGCAGCAGTAAGATAAATGTACATATGCGCAAATGCTATGCGCTAAATCGGTATGTCGCGAAAACGCGACTGTCGGCGTTAAGGGGTTAATAGCCACTGTATATTATAAATGTATAAATAGCAACAGTGTGTTATAAATGTATAAATAGCAACTGTACAAAAAATGTCAATGTAATTTACTCAAACCATGCTCATGATAAATATGTCTGACGCATGAAAATTAGGAAACTCTGATAATTTAACTTTAATGACGAAAAACCTTAGGGTATATAATAAATATATTTGAAGGCTTAATTTTAAAAAATGTAGGATACAATATTCAGTGAACATATAACTAGAGATTAGATAAAGCTAATATGCAAAAACACCTTTCTACAACTGATCAAGGGATATAATGAAGACCAACTAGCTGAACTCAATATTAGAAATACTGGTCATCAATTAGTTTGATCAATATTAAGACTAGATAGGACTAAAACGTTTTCAATTTGATTGAAATGCAGCAATACATTTTTAAAAATATTTGTTCATCTATTAATTCTGAATTTATATTCTAATTTTTGTTAAAATTTGTGAACCTACTTGGCATAATCGTATGGAGTGCGGCCATTTGCATCTTTAGCACCAGGGTCAGCGCCATACACACACAGCAGTTCCACCTGGGATGCCTGGTTAGCTTGAGCTGCCACATGAATAGGACTGTTGCCTTTTTCCTGTTGAGTAAAACATGAGGTACTAGTTGTAGAGCACATGACTACTAATCCATGGGTCTCGAGTTTGGTTGCAGAGGCTTGTGTACAATAAAGAATCTTGTGGTTTCCCAACAAATGGGGCAATAGAAGCAGTTGGAAATAAAAATGGAAGGTCCTTCATTCCATACAGGATGGAATGATCAAGTTATTACTAGCCCAAAAGTCAATGAGTTGGGTTAACAAGCTTGGTCCTATAGGGCAAATATGACTCTCATGGATACATGAACCAAGCAACTTAACCAAAAAAAACAACTCGTCTTTTTCTTCAACACAAAAGAAAAGTCAATAATTTTATTATATAAAACAGACGAGTTACTGGACTTACTTTATAAAAATAGTTAGGATCTGCTCCCTTGGACAAGAGCCGCAAACATGTTTCAACATTGTTTGTTCGAACACTTGAGTGGAGCTCCTGCGGAAGAAAGTTAGAAAACAATCAACTTAGACTCAATAAATCACTGGTGTCGGTTGCTGACCCCAACCCCCCCCCCCCCCCCACCTAACTCTAACAACCTCACCTAACTCTAAATGAAGTATCATTTTAATAGATAATGAACACAAAACAATAAATTCTAATTTTTTTTTCCTATCAAAATGTAAACAATATAACCACAAACTTTGCTAACACCATGTAATGAGCTTTTTACTTACAGCCAAAAACTAAATTTTATTGTATATAAAATAATTACCTCCTCACCCCCCCCCCCCCGCCAAACTTAATGTGAAAATAATGCTACTACAAACCTTGCTAACATCATCTAATGAACTAGCATCACTGTCTTTATGTTTGTTTACAAATGAGAGGAACTGATATTTGGCTCTGATAAAATCTGATTTGTTCGGGCTGAAATAAAACAAAAATTATATTGTATTCTATAACATTGAAGTCTGTCCGTCTGTCAGAATATAGATAGCATTATAGTAAAATACTCTGTTCAGACAATCATCCAAAGTCAGCACATTAGTTAAGTTTATTACATGATAGTAACCAATTAACTTATTTAATTAATTACTAGCCATCATTTCTGTATTAACTATTTTAGAAACATTATTACTTCAAAGACCATGGCATAGAATATAAATCAATTTCTTTTTGTTAGATTAGATTCATAGCCATAATCCCAGCTTTAATTCTAACCCCAACATCAATGTTGGCAAAAAAAAAACAATAAAAAAAAAACAAAAAAAAACAGGATATTGTTTTGACCTGCCAACTTTAAAGGAACAAAAAATATTTTAAAATAAGATTGACACAAAAAAAAATTCTATATAATGAGGTTCCACAAGAGATAATTATATTAACAACACATACTGAAGTGGGTCGCGTGGTGCAGGTTTCCTTTTGCCGTGTTTGTTCTGTGCTGGGTCCAGCATGGTGTGTTCCCATATGTTGTTAGCACCATTACTAGCTAGAATGTAAACCATCTGAAAAAAGAGTACACAGGATTCATGTTCAACACTTTACTAGCTAGAAAGTAAACCAGTAATAGTAGAACTTAAAGACAGCACAAATAATTCTAGTAAGCACAACATTAAATAATGACTAGCTCTTGTTGTGGCTAGTATTTTACCAATCGATAAATGTTTTACGAACAATTTTAGTAGTGGTATTGCATGGTCAAGTAATAGAGCACAAGACTGCATAATTCAACCTTATGTTTTAGGGATAAATACAGGTAGACCTTGCAGAGCTCAGGGGTATAGATAATCAGTAAATGCCTCATTGCCAAGAGATCTACTTCTCAATACAACTTTTTACAAGACAAAAAAGGCAAATATTTTTCAAATAGCATAGCCTATTCCAGCAAACATTCTAAGCTAAATGATAAACGTTTAGTTAATCTAAATTAAAAAAAACTGTATGAAGTGTCCACAGATCTGGACACCACCACCCAGTTCGTCCACAACGTTGGACTTGAGTGACTCCTCTAATACAAATAATATTCTATAAATAATATAATACAGAGAAAAAGAAGTTATACTTAAGTTGAATGATAACTGTAACTAAAACATAGCCCCTTACAGTATGCTGACTGGCACACCATGATCCCCTTTTCAGGTTTTTGACTTGTGATATATGGCGACCTAAACTACGGTGTACACTGCAACATTCATCACAGATCAGCACACCTCTGTTGATTGATGCCCATGTAGGCTCTGGTAAAAAATACAATAGAATCACCTTCATAAAAATACAAATATGTAATACAAGGCTTATAAGACTTAGCACTGTTATATTCTCATTTAATTATTAGATAATATGAGTATTACTGTTTTTAAAATAGTGATTTTTCTAATGCTATATTTTTGTAAAGTATTGACTAGTTAAACTGAAAAAATGTAACCATTAATTTTGTATGAACATTTCTTTACTCAAAAAAAAAAAAAACAGACTGAAACATAGTTTAAGTTATGAACATATTTTAAAAAATAATGGAATCCAGTTAAGTGACACATCCATAAGTTTATGTACAAATTCTACAGTTTAATAGCTTTCTTTATTTTTCAATTAGCTGTATAATGTAACTCTTCTCCTAAATATTCATGCTCTTTTTTAAAAATAAATCTTGTAAGTTAATATAAGTATGTTAATTATTTTTAAAGGTTAATTTAAGGAACTACAATTCCACTATTTTTTAAAGGAATGTTCTATGAGGTAAAAATGCAAATCAGAGAAAGAATATGAATTTAAAAAATGATAACAATAGATTTTACTCTTTCATCATAGAAATACAAAGAATCGTAGGGGTGAATTTTCAATGAACTTAATAAAAAATCTACCTGGAGCAGTACAGTCAGCGCAAACAGGTGGTGGCCGCATGCTTCCTCTGGACATAGTCATCTTCTTCTGGTCGCCACGTTTGGTCTTTGAATCCGTGGTGAAGAATTTGTTACTTCACCAAATAAAACTCTGTGTATGCCCAACACTTAAGCACTATAGAAATATTAATGCAAAGATTTAATCAGTAGAATCAGTAGATTTTCTTAGTAAATTTTTAATAAAAATTTTTCTGTCATTTAAAATAATTCAATGAAACTACTGTGCAGTCGGCCTGTGTACAGTGAAGAAAAAAAATCAATACACTAATAAAATTTCTAATACTTTAATACAATAATAATGTCCACAATTTTACATGTTCTCTGCAAATATACATTAATCTAGGAACTGTCTGGTGCTTTTGCCTGGTGGTCTGTTGATTTTCATTGTAGTTCAGTTTTTCATGAGAGTGCTCCACCAGAAATTTTTCTGGCATTTTAAGGCATAGTATTCATTTCCTTAGCATCTTGCATTAAAATGATGAGATTTTGCGAGATTAGCAGTTTTTTCAAAAAAACGGAGCATGACGTTTCAGGGTAAACTTCTGACATCCGGTTATGGTAACGAGACGGACTAATATATAGTCGATTTTCTCACTAAATCTAAAATTTACACAATTTTCAATTTAAACACGACCACTGAATAAAAGACATCCATATTTAACCCATTAGGCACTAATTTTGAAGTTTTTAGTTCATTTTTAACTAAATTACTTTAATTTAATATTTATTGTCACTCACTGCCATGACAAGACACACCTCTTCATGACAACTCAACTTACGTCTGAAGCAACGGCAAACCACGAATCGGTTTGACTTTTTAATTGGCTATGCACCAGAGTTCTTCACTAAAATTTACTAACAATGAGCCAAATAGCGGTCCCATGGTTTTTAAAAAATAAAAATAAATTGGTTGTGATATGGACGCCGGTACAGCTCATAATATGATTTCTTTTTTCATAGACTGATAGAACAAATAACGATCTACGTTCTCGCTCATTTTTGCACCTATAACATTGATATTTTAAAAGTTCTATTAATTTTAATGAAAACCAACTTTTGAATTCAGCCACCATTCTCGAAACCAAATTTCAAAATGCTTTTCTGTCAGATCTAGCCCTGCCACCTATGGTTTGTATTTATAACGCGAAAACCCTGCCATTTTGCTCGTGGTAAACATTTTAAATAGTAATTCTAAGAAGGCCACTGGAACTAAGACGAAAAATCGTCGGAAGTCATGCATCCGGTCTGTACGCCATAATATTGTTGTTAGCAACCGGCCACGCCTCCAGGTTAGCGAGTAATACTAATATATAAGCCATGATTATAGGCCTGGATATGGATTTCTAGTAGGTCTCTTCAGTGGTCATGTTTAAATTGAAATAAAAATAAATCAAGTAGGCTAGGCCTAAGGCCAAAATTTTAGATTTATTTAAAATATCTAGGCCCTAATCTCTAGATGCTAGATTTAACAAAACCTAACTCATCTCTGCCACACTCACTATCATGATTGAATAATGAATAGGAATAGACTTGAATGCAGAAAGAATAGCAGGTCTAGCACTAGGCTGCTAGCACTGGCTTGGCTAGCTTGCTGGATATGGATTTCTAGAGGAGTTTACACTTTTCGGACACACACCAAAAATTACGTAGGACCGAACACTTCGTCGGTTTTTGGCTCATAGAAACTTTAATTAGCATGTCTCACGCGAAACCACGGCGCCTGCACGTAAACTGTTCATTTATGAACATTTCCGTGTCAAGTACTTCCGTTTCCTTTCTCAAGAATTATTTTTAGAAATTTTTTAACGTTGCATGGTACGCACATTTCTATTTTTACACCAGCCGGATGAAGTGACCTAGGGTTGGACTTAGGGGCAAAACTTGAACCAATCACTGCTTAGCTAAAAGGTTACACTATAAATAGCTTCTATATATGTATGGAACATCGTAAATGTCAAGGTTAATGGGTTTTTTCGTGCTTGAACAATAAAAAAGGGGTGTTCGCTAACTTATTTGGCCTTACATGGGATCGGACAGCAACACAAAAATATTATTAAATAAGAATTTAGAGCATAAAAGGGGCTGGTTATTGAAGGGAAAGGGTCAAAATAAGGTCAAGAAGGCAGTGGAATGCAAAAGAGGAGGGGGAATCATGTGACCTGGCTGGCTTAGCAGCGTACTGCGCGAGCCGCAATGGCTGAATGGGATGAACTTTGGGAGTGTGGGAAAAAGGTTTTATACTATTAAAATTACCTCACAAACAATCAATAACACAATATAAATGCATATAATATATGTTTTTATTCATTAAATTGACTTTAAATTATTCTAAATGAACAAAAAGTGCTATGTCCGATGACGGGTAAAGGTGTCCGAACACATGTAAAACTGTATTACATGTGTTCGAACACACGTTAAGACCCCCCAGTCACTATAACAAGAATAGCTTAAGTTCTATGCGTATGAATACAAAATGACACACACATTATTAAAGTAGAATGGTTGCGGATAGATATGATACTTTTTTTTGTTTTCTATGTTAAGCGGTTACTGAATGAGACCGCATGGAATTTTTACGTTGCGTTTTTTCGCTATGTGTGTCCGAAAAGTGTAAGCTCCTCTAGTAGGTCTCTTCAGTGGTCATGTTTAAATTGAAATAAAAATAAATCAAGTAGGCTAGGCCTAAGGCCAAAATTTTAGATTTATTTAAAATATCTAGGCCCTAATCTCTAGATGCTAGATTTAACAAAACCTAACTCATCTCTGCCACACTCACTATCATGATTGAATAATGAATAGGAATAGACTTGAATGCAGAAAGAATAGCAGGTCTAGCACTAGGCTGCTAGCACTGGCTTGGCTAGCTTGCTAAATAAAAAGTAAATCAAGGAATTCGAGATCTAGATCTAGATCTAGAATCAGAAATCTAGTGTAGCTAGAAATCTATTTGTATTCTAAACAATCTTAAAATATGCTCAGATATTTTCATCCTCTACGAAGTATAATTTAAATAAAGATTAATTTTTAAAAAATGGTTACAGGCACTTAAGTTTTGATGAAAAGAAATATTATTATCCCCGGAGATCCATTTTCTTTCATTTCTTCCTGGACAGCACTGTATATAGAGTTCAATGTCGTAAAAGATGAGTCACTATGTCATTGTGTTATTGCCTATCAACGTAGCTTTACGTTTAGTATAATCAAACTGTAGATATTATTATTATTAAAGTAAAATATATTTTCTCATCATTCTTAAGGTAATAAGAACATTTACTTAGTGATCGTGTAATCCAACCATTATAATAGTCGAGTCAAAATATTTACGACAACATAAATGAAGTTCGATTTTTAAAAAAAAAGTGTTTTGGACCAACAAAAAATGTAGGCTACATAACGAACATATCGCTTGCGGTGCACATCTTTTTTAAATACCCCTGCGACAAGTTACACACATCTTATGTAAATAACATGATATTATTAAGAAAACCTGGGTTCGTACTAATCTCTAGAAATAAATCTAGCCCCAAAAACTGGATGTGTTCAAGTTTGGAATAAATCGATGCACCGCGTTAACACATGCGTAGGCAGGGGGGGGGGGGGGTGTTGAGTACATTTACAGCTAGGCTGATGAAATTTCATATATAAGTATTATATCAAATTTGTAACTCTGTATCAACTTTTCAGCGATTTCCGTGAACCGGAAGTAAAACTTTTTCACCTTTCAATTTTTCAAATTTCAGATAGATAAATGAAATTTCACGTAGGCCTATAAGTAAAAGATCTAATTCTCTGCCTTCTGTCAAATTTTGAGTAAATTCCGTTGACCGGAAGTAGTGATTTACGCTATTTCCAATTTATGAAAAAACGAATGTGAATTTATAAAGTACCAATAATATTCCGCACTATTATCACATTTTGCTGGACGTTCTCATGGTACGCAATTCTTTTTTCTACGCGATTATATTCTATTTAAAAAAGTTTAAGTAATTAAAAATGGATTAGCAATAATGTCTATATCCCGAGTTGCCATACTCCGTAGTGTTATATAAGAATATTCGAGAAAGTTTAAGGGAGACCACTGCCTTTTTTTTTGCTTAGAGTGATAAATTGTTTTGTTTTGTCGGCCTACATTGTGTGTTTTTTCTTATTTCTTCAGAGTGCTACTTTCAATTTATTTTACAACACAGTTCATAGCGAAGCAATGTTATACAGCTAGTATATATATATATATATATATATATATATATATATATATATATATATATATATATATATATATATATATATAAAAATGCTGGAAAAAATTTGACCCCCCCATGAGACGATCCTGGCTACGCCACTGCATGCAGTATAGATCTATGTATAGAGTATTATAGAGTCTAGTATACATGTTTAGAAAAAAATTCGCTATGTAATATTATATGAAAACATTTTCACTCACGAGTTTTTCGATATGTATGACATGTCGCACGCGTAAATGCGGTGCTGGATGATGTTAGATGATCCGAGGATTATCCACATTCATGAAAACAATTTAAGCTGTTTTAAAATGTAAATAATTTTAAACTGGCTCTATAAAAAGCTTTAATTTTGTTTGGCATCTTGTTATTAACTTGTTTTAGCCGTAACTGTGTCAAATACACTCAAGCTTTAGTAAAGCCCAACAAAAACAGTCCAACCCTGATGGTCAGCAATAAATGGTTTGATCTATTTTTGTAACAATTTAAAAGAAAGAAGTAGTATTTTAAAAGCGCGAAATGCCGATTCACTGTTTTACATTACTCTCAAAAATGCAAAGAGTCGTCACACTTTTTGAACTCCCCGTCGTCACAAAACGAATATTATGGTCGGCTTTGGGCCTCTAAATGGCGTGCCCCCCCCCCCCCCCCCCCCGCATTGCGGGGTCTGGCGGCACTGTAGTTCCGCCCCTGAACAGGACCGATAATATTTTTTGACAACACCTGAATCTGTTTTCATGGTTATTTCCCCTTCGAAACAAATGCAGGGTGAACCATGGTAATGATACTGATAGTGTAAAACCATTCATATTTTCCGTATGGTTATTGGTATAGCAGGTTTACTTTGTCCACTTGTTTTGAAACAGGACCGATAATATTTGTTGACAACACTTAAATATGTTTATATTGTTATTTCCCTTTCATACTTTCAAAACAAATGCAGGGTGAACCAGGGTAATGATACTGATAGTGTAAAGCCATTCACATTTTCCGTGTGTAAGGTTATCAAGCAGATTTACTTTGTCCATTTGTTAGCCGGTTAGTACGTGTTCTCTGTACCATCTTTGTTATTTTAAGTTGTTATCTTGTCAATCGGAACTCCAGGATTTTTAGACACCATTGGAAAAGTGTTTCTTTCAGACATTTGTCTCTGGTGGGGGCGCAATTGAAACTTTGGGTGTGGGGGAGGATGTGCTTAAATTTCCGCGGGGGGGGGGGGGGGGAAGGAGGCGGATGCTGGTTAAAACTATATTTTCTATATAATTTATACATTTTCTCCTATGTTTTGTTTGCGTGTGTGTGTGTAGGGACGGGGGGACGGGGGGGGGGGGGGGGAACTGAGGGCGTTGTTCGTGGCCCGGGGGAGGGATGTGAAGTGTGCTCCCAACCAGTTTGATGATATTGTTTTAGGCTGTTTAACTTCAACGTCGAAATACATCAGTCTTCTGTTGATGTCAGTAGTAGAAAGCGTGTTGTCCCACTTAGACATGAACCACAGATATTTAAATGAGGGATGTCCTGCAGTTCTGACCTAGATCCGTCCCTCCGACTGATGCATACGCCGCAAACGTCTCCAGGTGAATAGAAACTGATCTGGTTTTTTTCCAGTGCCGTTCAGTTCTCTATTGAAACTCCTTCCTATCTGTGTTGGCTTTATTTCTATTTGTTTGCGATCCAAGAGCAATTCGTTTGTTTTGTGAGGGGGGGGGGGGGGGGCCCGAAAAAGTCTCCCTGCGGATATTTTAGCCCACCCCCCCTCCCCTAAAATTTCAAGTGCACCCCCCCCCCCCCCCCGCTCCGGAGAAAAATGTCTGAAAGAAACAATGTACACGTTTTTCAAGGAAGAGTTGGTGATACTGATATCACTACTGAATTTGGAATTAGAATTGGTATTTACCACTGGGCTAGTTAAAAACTAAAAAAATAAACCATGTCCATTTTATTTTGGCCAAACATCGCTTTTTTACATAAAACACACCTTTTATACGTCCCTGACTCCTTAAGCAAGATTTAAGTAAACTTACGTGTAAATAGAGAAACTGTTTAAAAACTTAAACCTTATTTATGATGACTGGCGAATGAAACAATTAACTCCCTTTTCTAAGAATCAACCAGGATTTTACCTGAGTCCCTCGTGTCAGTGTCACGCGTCCAACACCTTTCAAAAACAACATTGAAAACGGTTTGCTGTTTTTAGTGGCAGGATTGGACGAAGAATATTTTCTTAAACACTAAGTTTTCTCAGAAAAAAAGTACAGCATAGTTTTTTTTTACTTTCAATATAAGCCACAGCTGTTTTGGTGCGTAAATGTTCTTTTGAGGGTTCTTCGTAAATAATGTTAGGCCCCCCCCCCTCCTCACTAAGCCCCGCCCATCATCATTCATCAAGGTCATCACAAATAGTCTCCACTCTTGAATGACATCTAAAGTTCTACTCCACTCAAAAGATTTTTTGTTTGTTTACGTTTGTAAGAAACGCATTAAGACTTTGCCAGTGACAGTTCTAAATACCGTAGAAAAGTTAGATTCAGGATACACGGTTAACTCTCAGGGTTTCTTTCTGAATTTTCATCCGAGGCGGGGGTGGGGGGGGGGGGGGAACAAACTTACATATCCGGGGGGTTGGAAGTTAAAGTAAAGTTATATATATTTATTTTCTAGAAATTATATATTTATCTATTTCGTCCGGAGAAGTGGTGGGGGTGGACTAGCTTCGAGAGGAAGGGAGCGAAGATGAGATGCCTGAAAGAAACTGTTTACTGTGTAGGTTAATAGTATAATAGTACACTAAATACAACCAACGTAGTCTACAGTGTCATTAGCTATTGTAAAACAATTCTAATTATAATGACTATAAGCTTGCGAAAGAACTAAACAGTATATTATAAGACATTATTTTTTTTTAAAAAAAAACAACAACACCCATAGATAGTGTAAATAACGGTAAATGTCCTGTATGGTGACAATAGTGACATGTGACCCAGTACGCATGACCTAACGGAGAGTTTGTTGACACAACTGCTCGGTCACGCACTGGATGACATCTACATCCGGTACACACATCCTGTCTGTCTGACCTGTAAGTGGAGCTAAGTAGGTCAATCCTTGGCTAGTCTGTTGTTGTTCATTGGACTGTTTTCCAGGGAAAGTGAGGGGTGGGGGACGACGAAGACACACGGTTAAAGTGTATATTTTCTATAAAAAAATTGTCTTCTATTTCGTCCGGGATGGAGATGTGGCTATGAACCTCGGGGGAGGGGACAGTGCCTCCCGGTAAGAGATGCCTGGGAGAAACACTTGCAACACGGCAGGGTCTATTAGGTCTATTACAGGAAAGGTAAAGCAAACAGGTCACAGTACAGAGAATCAAGGGGTGGGTTGAGGGATCTTAGCGCCTCACTTAAAAAAAAAAAAAAAAAAAAAAAAACAATAACAAAAAAACAACAACAATAATTAGAAATTTTTTTTTAAACGCACAACTATAAACATAGAACTTTTTTATTTTATAGATTTTCTTCTTATGATTTTAAAAATACAAAGTGTTCAGCTCTTAATACTTATTTAAAATGAATGCCTATGATGGATCTCGGGCGGCTAGTGGAGGCCTAACAAACAGACAAACAAACAAAACAAAGAAATAAACAGCCAATGCGAATTAAACAATACCTGATAATACATTGTTGTAAATAAAACCCTTAAACCAAGAACATCACCTAGTTAATGAAAAACAAAGTTAACGCAAACACACATACAAACAGTGGATGCATACATATTTAAATACTCGCGTACGCGCGCACATACATACACATATCAAAACACCTGATCAGACACACACACCCTCCTAACATTAAAATTAATTGTACCTAACCCGTTGTAACACCAGGCCGGGTGTCACTTGATGCGGCACCTCATGGTGTCACCCCCCCTCCCCCCGGAAAAAATTACACACACATACACAGACACACACAGACACACACACAAATATATATATATATATATATATATATATATATATATATATATATATATATATATATATATATATATATATATATATATATATATTATAATATATATACAGTCTACATAGGCCTATATATAGTTCCAATTGGTGCCTGTTCACTCCCATTTTGCCTAATAGCGTCAATTTGTACGCACATTATATTAATCCAACAAATTAACTTTTGCAATTGGTGTCTCCCCCCCCCCCCCCTCCCGGGTGATAGATATAAAGTTTATAGTAAAGATGTTTATAGTCAGTTATTAACTCATGTGGATTAACTCTAATTAGTGACAAAAAGTGCATTTCTTCTATATATTTATCAGCTTTCTCCATGATTTTACCCGCAAAATGGTGTCACCCGGTGCGGTCCGCACCCCCCGCTCCTTCCTCGCGACGCCGCTGACCACTCACTGACCATTAGTCATTTTGTTCTGTTTAGCATCAGCTAACACATTGTCACATAACACATCCGTTTAATTTTACCCTTCGCAACTTGACTGTGTCCGCATTACGTCCACCGTGATACAGGATATCATAGAAACAGGTCAATCCCTTTCCGGTTTAGAAACGTATAAAACTAGAACCACTCAGTTAACAAAATAAGAAACAAGATTTCACTAGTTTATCCAGTCGATTCACATCGGACCTGCTACCTGTATAATAAATTAATGAAAATGTCCATTACACTGAGTGCGTTACTGGTCGTTGCCATAGCAACCGTGGAGACATTCGCCTACGTCAACGACTGGGACCAGCCGTTTGATTTCAGATGTCCGTCTGGTCAGGCCATCAGCTACATCTCTAGTATCCATAGCAACCGTCACGAGGACAGGAGGTGGGAGTTTTTGTGTCGGAGTGTGGGAGCTACACACTCTTGTGAAGACAGCGGTAAGAAATAATTAGCTCTAAGTTATCTAATTGCTAATTAAAACGTTAATTTAGGTTTACACTCTTGTGAAGACAGCGGTAAGAAATAATTAGTTCTAAATTATCTAAAAAAAAAATGCTAATTAAAACTAAGCTTAGTTTATCTTGTCAATAAAATAGGTACGCTAAGAACTTTTAAAAGACTTCCAAAATTTGAACTAAGTTAAGACCTGACAAGTTTCAGGTTTAAAAAAAAAACTTTTAACTCTTTACGCATTAAAAAAAAATGGCCAGTATTAAAAGAGGCCTCCTTGCCTACCAATGAATGTTACTGTTTTAAAATAAAAATGTAAGTTGGTATGAAGGACTTTTGAAACACGCTTGTACCGTTTTACAATTTTTTGCCCGCGGTGTCAACATCTAAAAGGCGATTATATAGTTTAAAAAAAAATCCTATTGAATGTTATTAAAAAAGATGTTAGCATAAACTTGGTGATAATGTTAATTTTGTATCAGTTTTGTAAAAAATTAGATGTATTTTTTTTATTATTCACATTTTATGTGATTAGACAAATAATTGTAAACATCAGAAGCTTTGGGTTTCAAACAAACTTTCCTTAACAAGGTAACGCTGACTTTCAATATAAACAGATATTTACCAAAAGTAAAGTTGGGTTTCCAGTGCAAAATTAATGACGGTCATGGGAAATCAATATTATAATTTCGAATGTGATATGACTTAGTTTTAAAAAATGTGTTGATTTTTTTAGAAATAATTTTTTGTTAACTACACAAAATACGTAAGAAGGAATGTTTTTTTTTTTTTTTTTTTTTTTACACGAATTGGACTTATGCGAGTGTTGTTGATAGAAACATACTTTAATATAACAATTTGAACATTCCAGGTTACGTGAACGACTTTGACCAAGCACTGGCCTACACATGTCCAGGTGACAAAGTCATGACAGGCGTGGCCAGTTACCATAACAACCGTCACGAAGACCGCCGGTTCAGATTCCAGTGCTGCAACATCTCCGGCAAAACGCCGCGCAACTGCTACGTCACCGGTGACGTCAACACCTGGGATGGCAAGCTGACCTTGAACGTGGCGGAGGGCAGCGTGGTCAAGGGCGCTTTCAGTCACCATAACAACCGTCGGGAAGACAGACTTTGGAGATACAGCATCTGTAGTATTTAAAAAACGATGTGTTGTGAAGATAGAGCATCTGTAGCATTTAGATTTAAGGCGCGTTTGCTCTCTGAGAACTTTGTAAATGTCCGGATGTATTTTATGTTTATTTTACGTTATACTTTATAACTACAAATATAACGCTCAGGAACCAAACGGAATAAATACAGTTATACTTTTAAAACTATGTAGGCCTATTTGTTTTTATTTATTAATTTATAAAGAAATTTTAAAATACGTTTTAAAACTTTAAAATTTCAAATACATATTTTATTGCTTGTAAACTATTGAGTCCCTGAGTCAATCCAGCTCTGTTGGGTACCCGACTTATGTTAAAGAACAAAAGGCAGCTGGGAAAAGTTCTGACCACACTGCCTCCCCCTTTATAAAATGTCATTGAAATAGATGGACTCTACTTCCTCTACCTCATATGCGTTGGTTGGGCAAGAACGGGATTGATGAGTCGGAATTCGACAAAGACAACTTATTAGTATCAAACAGACAACCATTTTTCTGACAACTTACACGAATAATAAAACAAAGGTTAAACATTGGCAGACATAGGTACACATTTTTGAACCACACTTGATCAGGTTTTGTACATACAGTAATACCTGTGTTTTTTAACTTATTTATATACACATTTTCAAAATACATAAATCATCATCTTTTCCTTTTTGTGCCCAAGACATATGGGGCCGCCACAGGGAGCTCCCTCCACTTTCGTCGGTCTCCGTCAATTTTCCTGGCAGTCCCCCATGACAGTCCTGCCTCTGCCAGCTGCTTCCCCGCCGTGCACCTCCACGTCTCCCTTGGTCTTCTCTGCTTTCATTTTCCTCCGGTTTTATTCTCAACGGCTCTCTCTACTGAGAAACCACGGAAGGGTCTTATTCTAATTAATCCTATCGTTGAGATTATATTCATGGGGTGAATTCATGTCCCATTGTTGATGGGATGCAAAATTTTCATTTACTTAAGAACCTTGTAATGGCGGTAACAACTACTCAACACTTAAATTATAAATATTAATTTAACTTTACAAAAACTAATGTGTTGTGGTTACAAACTAAAACAAAGTTTTTCCATAGTAATCAAATAAATATATAATGTGTACACCCATTTTCTTTATATCAATAAGTTTTAATTAATTATAATACATTATTTGTAAAAATGCTAAACACTATAGTGACAAAGTCACTTAATTATTTTACGCATTTTAAATTTAATCTTTGATTTTTATTTGCCTTCCTTGAAAATTAAAATTTACAAAGGAGAGTAATAAATTGTTTTACTATCCCAATACATATTTTTAAATTAATAGGAAAATTATGTTACTATAGAATACATATTTCGGAACAGATAGTAACATGCGTTACCATCACAACACGTATATAAAACGCTAAACGGAGAAACATCAATTTTTTGGGAAAGAGAGAAATGTACTGATCTTTAATTTTTAATTACGTCAGTGAGTTAATGAAACAAGCATTGCTAAAGGCCTCATGCCTTACTCTGAAATCCCTACAGAAAGACCACTCCAAAATCAAACAACTGCTGCCTGCCTTGTAGTTTGTTCTTGGCTGGACAAAGGCCAGGGAAGCAAATAAATAAAGAAAAGCAGACTGAAATATTTTGTCGCATAACAAGTGGCATGCGTTACTTAATTGTGATCGAAGAAGAAGACTACATTATTAAACTATATGAAAAATATACATTATCCTATTTAATATAACTCCACAGCATATTATCAGATAGCATAACGCTAAACCATCCACAGCATATTATCAGATAACATAACTCTACACCAGCCATTACATATCATACAACATAACTCTACACCATCCACCACATATCAGATAACATAACTCTACACCATCCACCACATATCAGATAACAAAACTCTACACCATCCACAACATACTATCAGATAACATAACTCTACACCAGCCACCACATATCAGATAACATAACTCTACACCATCCACCACATATCAGATAACAAAACTCTACACCATCCACAACATACTATCAGATAACATAACTCTACACCAGCCACCACATATCAGATAACATAACATTACACCATCCACCACATATTATCAGATAACATAACATTACACCAGCCACCACATGTCAGATAACATAACTTTACACCATCCACAACATATTATCAGATAACATAACATTACACCAGCCACCACATGTCAGATAACATAACTTTACACCATCCACAACATATTATCAGATAACATTACACCATCCGCTACATAAAGCCTCTACAAACTAGATAGAGACTACTAACAAGACGATCCCAACATATTGGATCCTGAAAGAATACATTTAACGGAGCCATGAGACAGCAACTCACATTGATCATTAACGTCAAGCTTTGCCTGTACCGCTAAATCTTAGAATAGTTTGTGTCCCTCATGCAAAAGTTATGTACAATAACAAATGACATATTATCACCATCAGATTTAAGATTCAACTATTTAAAAGGATAATTTAAGATTAAAACTCTAAGTATTTAATAAATAATTGGAAGCTAGAGTTTACTTAAATTTCTCAACAAAGACTAATAGTTACATACATTATGTATTAACAATATTATAATTGTAATATTTGATAAAAAAAAGTACATGACGAGTTTTCTTTTTTATGTTTATTATTTTTAACAATTTAATTATTCTATAAAGTTGTTTCTCTTGTTTTTTTAATGATTTGTATAGGGGAAGTAATGCAGTAAGAAAGGGGTGCAAAAACAGATCGTGTTGTCTCTATTGGGCAAAAATAAAATATTATTTAATTAAGTTTGTATGATTGCACTTGAAAGCCTACAGCCGTGTGTAACGAAGTAACCTTTTCTGCGAAGACACGCAGTGGCGTATCATCATATGGTAGAGAGAAACAACTTTTAAACAAAGAAAAAGAATAAACATACACCCTGTGTTAATACATTGCGTATTTTTACTGTTGATTTATTTGTAAGTGTTTAAAGGTTGATCTACACAACCACCCCATAAAATAATTCATATTCATTCTTGCGAAAAAGCGTCCCTATCTATTATGGGTAAAGTTGAAGGGCGTTTTTATGCTGTAACTGTAATTGATTCTTTAAGGTATTTTTTTTACCTCGTTGCACAATCAACAGCTTATTCAGTACGTAAAGCTTTGTAAAATACAATTTTCTCAACATCAACTTTAGTAAAGCCTCTACGAATTGCCTTTTTAATTTTAATATAGGTCAGAGCCGGTAGAATAAAAAAACAACAACGTTAAATGCACAATAAATATAGATTTTATCCAACACATAATTTAACGATTTGATGTTAATGATTTAGTTTTTAAACTAATTGATTTATAATTATATCAAACTAATCAATTCGTTTCAAAACTAAATCATTAACATCAAATCAGTAAAATATGTGTTTTATAATTATATCAAACTAAACTCGTGCAAAAGATGAAATGCTACCCTACGACAGATGGTCATATTTGTTAGAACTTTGGCGGGGATGTGAAATTGTGACTGTGTCGTAGTTCAGGAATATCCAATATTATATTGACTATGTATTAATTTTCTTTTGGCTGTAAACCCAAAATTTAAAGATATCTATATAATCTATATATATAATTCTCTTCTGGGATCAGTTAGAAAACAAGCTGCAAGCGCCTCCTTGCAGTCCCCTCTCTTTCTCTCTATCACTATCACTACAACCCCCCACCCCACCCCAACATTTTCTGGTGAGCGGTGTTCACTCTAAATTTTTACAAAGCTAAATGTTTACAAATCGAAGAGCCGTACAGCCGGGTTTCTATTAGGGGCAGATAATTTAGTTCGATTTTAAACTTACAGGAGGTAACTAAGAAATAACTAAGAGGAGGCTGCTTTCACGGGGGGGGGGGGGGGGGGGGGTGTAGGGTCGGGGTTTCGGGGTTAGGGGTTACAAATTATGAATTACTGAAAAGTAGAAGATAAAACAACTAAATAGCGGCGTATGATACGCTGCGGGTCGGCTCGTATATCTATCTATATATATAACTAGGCATACTGCCTAGCTTCGCTTAGGTTTTCAAAAAAATTGAGAAATTGAATGATTAATTAGTAAGTGATTGGCTGCTTTGTTAAATGCTTAGGGCCTAAATTTATACAGTGGAGTAATGTTTTCTTTCACGAATATTGATTGAATATTCGCAAACTTATTACTCGCGCGGTTATTAGAACTGCAAGGGGTTTCTTAATAGTATCAATCTAATATTATAATAAATTACTTTCGCAATAATTTTTACAATATCAGTACAATGCAAAACTTAATTTGTAACAAAATATTTATTTAAAACAATGCTATACTTTATGATTTTTGTTTTTTTCTTTAAAAGAGATTACGAAATATTTAAAAATTATTACATTAAAAAGTTACCTCCCCTGTTAATAGACCAAATGACCAAATCTCGTATAATGAGGATTTCACTCGCGGTCTTTTTTCGCCCTCTTGGAAGGCTTTAAGTGTGACCAACAGTTATTCCATACGGCGTAGTCATCTTTATAGGTGTATACAAAAAATTAGCCAGATGTAAAGACGGTAAGTGCCCTAAAATTCGTTTTGAAATCACCCTCTGTTTTCCCCATAAAATACAAAGATTATATAGAGAAATAAGGCTGGTCAGTTTTGACACATTTAACGAATTTTCTTGGACATGGCGAGTTTTTTGTGACACCCCGAGGCGTTCTCCTACCACCTCACAAAATTTCAAGGGGGTCGTCGGAGGAAATTTTTTTTCGAAATAGAGCTCATATAAAGAGAATTTCACTCGCGGTCACTTTTTAGCCCTCGTCGAGGGCTTTGAGTGAAACCGACAGTTTTCCCTAAAGGTCAAGCCATTTACCTAAGAGCATGCAAAACATTAGCCAGATGTATAGACGGTAAGTGCCCTCAAATCCGTTTTGAAATCACCCTCTGTTTTTCCCATAAAATACAAAGATTATATAGGGAAATACGACTGGTCAGTTTTGACCCATTTAACGAATTTTCCCGGACATGGCGAGTTTTTTGAAACACCCCAAGGCGTTCTCCTACCACCTCACAAAATTTCAAGGGGGGTCGTCGGAGGAAATTTTTTTTCGTAATAGAGCTCATATGAAGAGAATTTCACTCGCGGTCACTTTTTAGCCCTCGTCGAGGGCTT